GACAACCAAGGTGAACAGGGATGCATAAAATATGTCAGAGCTAAGTTCATACTCATTCCAACCTATTTGGCCAAATAACATGTGCTATCACAACTTCTGCATAGAAACATGAGAAAATGTGCAGTACCTTTAATTTGTAAAGACAAGCTCAGAACCAAAGCAGCTGACATCATAACATTATCTTCGAGTAATAGTTTTAACTAAACTTTAGAATTCATTATATTTGCAGATTTCAATAATTCAGTTGGCCTGAATTTTGTCTGGTAATCAAAATCTTTCCAAATATGGATACATTTGTTCAATCATTTTCTCTTCTGGCAAATTTCAAACGAGTTCACTCCACCATCAGAATATATCTGTGATGTGTTTACAATGATTGAAGTGCACACATTTCAATCCACTCCAACAAGAGTGAATAAATATAAATTGTTGCTACTTGTTGATTGTCAAATATTGGCATGTGTTAATAAGTAGAAAAGTCAGTGCTAACAATATCTCAACCATCACCTGATGAACATTAATGACTTTTGCCTTGAATGAAACTGTACCCACAGGGTCTTGTCTATCATTCTAAAGTCCATATTTAAAACATATAGACAGTTGGGTTGGGAATGTGAGCCAAGTCCCTGTGACGGTGTCTATGGTATTAAAACCAAATTTAATCCCATCAATGGCTGACATTTGTTTAGATTAGGAAATTCTCTTATTGTTTGTTGTCAAAACCGCTTTGTGTTGCCCAAGAAGTATAGGCCAAAGTAGCTTCAACTGTTCACCATTGCCTGAACACCTTGAGCAGCACAGCACACCCAAAAATTCTCACAAATTAAGTAGAAGCCTTTTACAATGTAAAAGAAAATGCATTTGGGAGAGTTCAGGTTTAAGTGAACTGAAACATGAACTATAGGAATATAAAGTTCATGAAAAACAAGACTTCGAGGCACAATAAGAAAATAACAATGAGCAAATACAGGATTTCTAGAGACCCGATTTATCATTACTGAATGTAATTCCTCTCATCATAATTCACTACTGATATTACCATCACTGATATTATAATAACTTTTATTTGAACTTCTGACCTGTCCTTACAAAAGTTATCAGCTTTTCACTAATGTAATTACTGCATAAAATAGAACAGTATGGCCCTACCAACCCTTTCTAATTCTATAATTACTACAATACTCAATTTGTGCATGAAAATGGACACAACATGCTAACAACTTAAATACCATCCTAAATGAGATCACAAACTGGACATGTTTATTTCATAATGCCACTTTTTGCCCTCCATACATATAACATACTTTTTCTATTACGTCTAAATGAGAATCTTCTTTAAATGAAAGTTAAAATGTTCGCTGGTATGAGTTCAGGTCAGACCCTTGGTAACAAGACATTCCATCAATGATTTGTAACAGAAAATAAATATCAATAATAGGGGGTTTATCTTCAAATAACAAATATCTCTCCTTTTAGGGAGGGAAGGGTCTGAGGTAAGATGGCTAAGTCATTGACAAAAAGTTTTTACTTATGGAAAACAAATTTCGATCCATCTTTGGGATAGAATCTTGAAATTTTTTTCCCCAAATGCCCATAATTCAGTATTCTTCTAAATGAGTACTGGAAGCTGAGAGTTCGTCTGTTTAACATTTAATACCACAACATATGTCTTTTAAACAAAGATATGAGAACTGTTATACAAAATAAACATGTGATTAGCCAGTCACAGGTGTGAAAATTTGTCTCTGTTCATAAGATTTAAACGCATTTGTTAAAGTTTACTGATTACAAGGTTAATTTCATGCACACGTAAGATGTCCTATACAAAAAACTTAACTTCACACTAGAACTTGCACAACGTATTTACTTAAAGCTTTTAATTTTCAAGAGCACCTAGTGTATAATGTGTTTATAGCACTTGAATGTATTTATCAACATAGTTTTACAATGTTTAAAGACTAAATGGAAAATACCCTGAACAAATTAAACAGGACATTTATAAACAGATTTTTTGATGACGATCCTTTTTTTCAAATATGCAGGTTCCCTGAGAAATAAGTTTAGTACAAAACAGATTAAAGCTTAATGAAGTCTTAATCTCAAAGCTTAATGTAGTCTTAACCACAGCTATTGTAACCTCGAAAAGTCTGCAGGCTGTGTGTGTGTGAGTGTGTGCGTGTGTGTATATGTGTGTTGTCCTGTGGAATAAATGCACAAAATATGGCACAAGCACAAGTAACATTACAGCACTATGTTAAGAAGTTACTTCTCACCAGTATTATCAATCCTTCCTTTAGCATTGATGTTTACGGATGGAGAAAACAGTGAATTTATAATACTGCTGTAATGTATATATATTAGTTGATAATCAAACTTAAGAGCAACAGATTTCTGTTTAAAGAATTGTTTGTGAACTTTAACATTTATGAGTTGATATTGGTAAAAACCATAGGTCTTCTGTTTCACATTGTTGAGTTTGACGGTGTTTTGAGTATCACGGACAAATACTTAAGTGTCTATATATCTAGTCATTGAATTCATTTCAGAAGGAAACTATATGAACACTGGAGTTCTTTTGGAGAAAAAAAAAAACATTAACATATTGAAATTTTAAAATACAGTCAATGTGACCATATATGGAATGTGATTTACCCATGTGATGTTAATGCTATTTCAGCATACCTTTCACAACATTACAATTTTGTCTACCTAGTGTTTCTCTGAACCAAAAAAATATATACATTTAGAATATCACTAAGGATATACCTCTAATGATACAATTCAAATAAATGACAATTATTATACATCTGAGGAAAAAAACCTGGAGCAGTAGCTATATTTCATTTACAGAGAACATCTGATCTTTTGTCTTCTTTCTGTTACAATTATGTCACATACATACAATAAGGCAGTGTATCGAGACGTCACTATAGACATAAATTATCGCAATTACTGCAGTCTGCAATAAAATTAAATATGAACACAATTAAGAAGGGGGGACAAAATCAACAATTCATCACAAAGTATCAACATAAATGTTTTAAACAAAACAGAAGGCAACAACATCATTATGTATCATCAATAAAATTGCAGGTATCACAAAAAATTTACACTTCCTTCATCAGCAATGATCACTGAACAGCTGTCCAGGCTTCAACCTACTCCACTTCTGCATAGGACCTAACACCAGTTCAGTTTAAAATAGTTTTTCTGATTTTTTTTTTTATCTATTTTGTAAATTTCCATTAATCCACCTTTTACCTTTGATAAATATTGAACACAACACAAAAAAGATATAGACATGGCCCTCATTTAGGGTCTTTTACTAATACAGACACATTTTTAAAACCATTTGCTTTCTACTCATCTCCACATAGTTTGTAACAATTCAAACATTTTGCTTCAGGCTTGGGTACATATTTAAATTAAAACAAATATTTTCTTTATTGTCCAAATATCTGCCCACATCAACATTTTATATACCAAGTATCTACGTACAGTAATTGGCACCATTATAATACTAGGCTGGTATACAGCAATGGAGAGAGACATTCAAGAATACATAGCTGACAATAAGTATAAAAAAATCTTCAAATTAAAATATTAATTTTGTGTTTGTACAAGTATACTACACACATTTCTCAAATTGAATTTACAAAAAAAGGGGAAAAAACTTCCCTATTATTTAGTTTCCACATTTGGCCATATTTTCATCAAGACCTTGCTACAAGATTAGCTGTTTGACAATGGAAAGGTCTACAGATTAAATTGTATAAATTAACTCAAATTTAATAACAGGCAATGTATATTTGAATGATATTGTTTGACAAACTGAGTTGAAATTTCATTTCTAAAATGAAATTTTTGTGTCATTTACTTACACATCTCATATTCAAATTAACACCCATCACTCATCACATTTAGATTCATACCTGTGCCACCTGTACTATTAAGAAACAGCATTTTAAAACGGTACATAGCTGACAGAATACAAATATCTCTTTTTTTTATAATATCAATTAGTTTCATGTCAACATTTGCAAATGATATTTTACTGAATTGAATTGCACAAATCATATTTCGTCTGGCAGGAGATCATACAAATTTATAAACATGTTATACAACACAATGAGACATTGCAACACTACTGTGTATTCATAAGCATCGAGATCCTTGTCTTCTTAAGCGTCTTTCATGATGTTTCTTCATCTTAATCAAAAGAAAATACAATTTCCCTTGGTGTTATCATCTATATTATTTATTTAAAACAAAGTACAATGCATTCCCCCCAAACAATGTCATTACATGCAAATCTCATTTCAATTTGTATATATTATTTGCAATTTCCTTTTCATTACCATATTGATACGCACATGTGCACTTTGATTTTTTTTCATTATAAAAAAGCAAATAACTATAAATAGATATCTAACAAATTTTTTGTTAATTTTATCATTTTTCTTTTGTACAAAAATCTTTTCTAAATACATGTTCCATAGTATACTACCTTTGCTTATACATGAGAAGTTGTTCTGCTAGTTGAGAACGACTTCGGTTTTATTTGCAATGCCTCAATCATTTTGACAAAACATTGTCCTGCTTATTTACATGGACTCCAATAAATTCACAACTTGGATATATATAAAGTACACAAACATTTTTTAACTTATTATTTTTATGGAAATTTCAGATTCTTGCATAAAATTCCCAGTTTGAAAACTTAAAAAAAACCAAGTAAAATCATGTTTAAAACCTTTGATAAATTCAAATTGATCAAAATTGAGTCCAGTTGTGGAAAAAAAATCTTAAATTTCAATGACATGTATTGCATTTTTGATAACAGGTAAAACTCATCTGTAGAATGCCTCTTAACACTGCCAAACTAAGTGGTGTCCACAACCCATAGCTAAAATTATTGAATTTTATCAACAGAATCATTAAATATATACATGATCCATGTTATTTTTCCAAATATACAAAATCATAGCCATGTCATCGATGAAACAAAAAAAAAAAAAAAAAACAAAAATCATCCTTATATATATGCTATAGTAAGTACTGAGCTTAATGACCAACTTCATGTAAGTGGATATCCTGCAAACCTTTGAAAATGAAATTTTCAATGGTTTTTCTTTCCGACTTAAAAACTGCCACACCTGTTTTCTTCCTACAGCAGGATATTACATCCAAAATATTTTCAGACTGTAAATACAGAGAAAATATTACCTTTGCAAATTACTTACCTCTCATCAAAATACCAATACCACAAAATTTACAAATCATTCTCTTAAACACTTAAACATACACACGCATCATACGGAACATAAAATGGCTCCAGATACACTCTGTTATCCAATCAGTCAGTACCTGATCCAGTCAACACTGCCGTTCAACAGTCTGATGATTATCAATACATTACTATTCTGAAACAATGCCTTATGGAGTATGATGTCTTCAATATGCTGCCATAAATACATACTGAGTTACTCATGGATACAAGATATGCATAAATAAAATGATTATTGTCTTGGCTGATGTTTTCTCTTTTTTTTCTTTTTTTTTTTAATCTGCGACAACAGCAGAGCCATTTTTTTTTTTTGTTTTTCAAAACATTACACCATGGCGAAATCTTCCCCGTCTAAGGACGAGAACAGATTGTGAACACTAACTTCACATTCTCATGGACACGTGGATTTCACTGTGATATTCAAGGTCTTCATAGAGAAGTTTGTTGAACAAGACACATGCAACTCTGCTCTCAATCTTGCCCAAGTGCTTTATTCTGCAATGGATCCTGTATAAACCAATGTCATATCTATCACGAAAACCAGGATCCTACATCCTTGATCAACGCAGTCGAAGCTTGTATCAATAATTCTGTATCCATGACCATGGGATTTATCAAGAATTTATCTATATAATTTTTTTTTACAATGGTCAGAAGAACTGGAACTCTGTATCTACAATGACAGTGATCATGAAAAATGGGACCCAATATTCATATCCACACTCAATGCAGTCCAGATCTTGTGTCCATACTTGAAGTAGTCACCGGTCAGAAAAACTGGAATTCTGTATCTATGATGATTGTGACCATGAAAAATAAATCTGATATTAATATCCACTCTCAAGGCAGTCCAGATCTTGTGTCCATACTCGAAGCAGCCATTGACCTCAATACTGGCACTTAGTAGTTAGTTTAGGGTTGTAGATTGTTTTTGACAATACCAACAACCAGGCCTGGGAAGTACATATACACTCACAAACACACGTAGATGGGATTGAGAAATAAATGTCAGTTGATTATGTACAGATATCACAAAGTCTTTCGCAGATATCACATGGTTCTGTGAAATACACATGAAGAAATCGCTCAGGAAATTTTCGTGTGAATTCCTTGTTCTCCTCCTGTGCACACATTTTGTTTCTCGAACAAACACATAAACGTGAATCAGCCAAACTTATATATATACGTATACAATATATATACTAGCACATTTTCACACACAAAATACTGTTTTTTTAGTCTTCACACACTCTCTCAAGGAGGCCAGTGTTACCTGGCGCTGTTATTATTTTGGTTGAAATCCCTACGGCCACCATTGCCACCTCTGTTGTAATTGTTACTAGGGCCGCCTGAATGTAACATATGCGCACCCTGACCTTGCCCTATACTGCCGCCACCGACACTGTTTTTGCGGCGCTTGCCTTGAGATCTGCTGTACACTTTGCTGCCCTGGTGCCCGCTGGGGGGATAGCGGTTCCCTTTACCCCCAGGGACGCCACCCTGGGGACCAGATTGACTAGAATGTCCTGTGTGACCCCCGGAGCCAATGTTGTTTTGGGGTGTGTATTTTGGTACGGCCTCCACCACAACCTGTTCATGACTGGGCACTGTAACTGGTGTATTACTGGGCGTACCCCGTGGTGTATAGGAACTGTTGCTGGACCGTGTTGATGACACGCTGCTAGAACTTGCGTCCCGCGACTTGCTGGGACTACCACGTTGCTTGCTGAAGTCTCGGCTTCGTACAAACTCACGGGTGGCGACGACAGTGGAACGGGGACTGGACTTGGTGGTGGTAGAATTGGTGGGCTGGACTGTGGTATTCTGGACAGATTCTTGCTGATGCTGGGGGTCGGGCTCGGAGTCCTAAAACACAAAATAATATTCAATATTCTACTGTTGTTCCTTCAATTAACATTATTTTGACATTCACTATAAAACTTGTTACAATTGTGAAACATTTCACGCCTATTCTTAAACATCTACCCCCAACCCCGGACTCCAAGCTTCAGAGGTACTATACTTAGAACTTAATGGACAATTTTCAGAGAAGAAATGAGCTGTAACCAGAACCATAGATAGAATTGATTTATTTGGAGTCCTGGGGTCAAGTAGATATTTTCCTGGAATAACTGTATAATCTCATAAAGATAAAATACAGAAACAATCAAAGACAGCCCAGACTGAAGAGTCAAGTAGGTGACAGAAAAACGCCTTTTAAACAACATAGAAAATATACTTGCTACCATCTCTAATAATGCTCAATGTAGTTATTTCCGATAGCACAAATACCTGTGGAAATATGAAGTTGTGTCTACCTGGAATACATCTAACTATGGTCAAGATGATCATTAATGTATTATGACACTGAAGGCACATATCACCTCATATGTATCCTGAAATAGGCTGTCAAACGTTTTAAGAAATTTTATTTTCAAACTGTTTTACAAAAACACTTACCAAAATGGATCGCTGATCACATAAATCACAGATGTACAAACAACTATTCGAAAATTGAAACCAGACAAACAGATTCTAAAGATAAGTAAAAATTAAAGGTAAAACCCAAGGCTGTGAAGTGCTGGAGTCAGTTATACTGATCTACCAATACCTAACTAACATGACCAAATGATACAGAGCTAAAATCACCAGTGCTGTCAGTATTAAGACTGTGCAATGTACAGTCATGATAAAAAGTGCTTTATTGACTTGGTATTACACCCAGCAATTCATTTTCGTATTTCTTATCAATGGTTATTATACAATTAAATATAGATCTGCATCTAACATAGAGTTAAAGCATTTTCGAATATTTTATCAACGGTTATTATACCATTAAATATAGATCTGCATCTAACATGGAGTTAAAGCATTTTCGTATATTTTATCAATGGTTATTACACAATTAAATATAGATCTGCCTCTAACATGGAGTTAAAGAAGATACCAGTGAAAATATTGATTCTTCTTTTTCAGAATTGAGGGATGGGGCAGAACCAAGTGGAATCAAAGCCAGGTTTAGAGTACAAGTTCCATTAAATGGCCTATTATGATTACATATGAAGTGAGGTATAACTATCTTGGGTGCTAGTGTACTCACTGTGTCACTTGTGAGACTGGAACTACAACTGTTGTTTGGGGAGGAGGTAGAAGAGGACTGGTAGGGCGAGCTAGAGTCCGACTGCTCAATAGATTCCATAGGACCATCAGAGATCTTCACACTACCACTGCTTTGCCTGTAAAACAAACAGGTTGCTTTAGTAGTTGAATCTTACTTCCCCATCACCGGTCACTATATTGGTAGCTGAATTCAGCTTTATAGACTACAGGCTACTGTTTCACAGCAGTCACCTGTTGGTCTACTCTAAACTGTTAGTATGGTTAAGTTAAGTTTAAACTACAGTAATTCATGTTAATTATACTGATAAATTTGTCTACGATCACAGGTCACCGTAAGAAGCTAAGATACAACCACAAGTCAAAGTAGCAGTTAAACTTGTCCATGACCACCAGTCAAGCATTACAGTGAAACTTGTCAACGACCATCAGTCAAAGTTTACAGCAAATTTGTCCATGACCAAATGTCCAAGTTTGCAGCTGAACGTGTCTACAACCACAAGTCATAATTTGCAGCTAAACTTGTCCACCACCACAAGTTAAAGTTTGAAGCTAAAGCTGTCTACAACGACAAGTCTCCAATCACCAATATTTACATCTTAATTGGCCTTGGAAGAGAAGTTAAAGTCCAAAGCTAACCTAGGATACCTTTGACTACTAATTAACATAAACAACTTAATTTGCTTCTGGGTAATGAGACTGGCAAAGCCTGAAAATACCACAGATAATTATCAATACCTAACTTTCATTGACTCTTTCTCATTTTGAGAAGAAAAAAATCTAAAAATATGTCAAGAATTTCATTTTGTAAAATCAAATTTTGTTTAATTTGTCCAGCATTCCTCCATATGATTACTCCAACTTCCCTATATACTGGTTACAAGATGATAATAATAAAAAAAATGAACATAGGTTTGGAAAAGCTTTAAATTTTGGATTTATTTATTTTTTGCATCCACTTTTATCATATACCTCTACTGTAACTATCATCAAAATACTGAGTCACCAGCCAGTAAGTATTTTGTAAGCCAGACTCGTAACACTGATATCATACTGTTAATTTTTCAAAAATTCATTATTTTCTGCAAGTTCTCAGTCGCTTCTATGAATTTCTGAAAACATCATTGGTGTGTATACTTCACTTTCTACAAAGCAACACCCACAAGTGGGTCTTGCACACTGAGAACAAGGTTGATTAATCATGTTTACCCTTATCTTATTCATTTTTAGGTGTTTGATGGTTCTTTTCTAGAATTTTCAGGTGTTTATGTGTTCATAATGTTTTATTAAAAACTTTTGCCTAATTTATGTATTTCATAATGTCAAAATAATCTGACATTTAACCGTTTCCTCAGCCTTACACCTACAAAGACCAGTCTAGGGAATGTCTGGGCTTGAAATATTCTAACATTTACCACGAAACATTAGTGGGATAGTGGAACTATTTAAAAATCTACATGCTGGATAACAATACCCTTAAAATAAAATGATACATTCCAATTTTTAGTTATAGCCTAGCATACATTTTTGAAGAGAAAGAACAACAAAGATCCTTCAAACCAAAAATCAAAGGAACACGCCCACTGTTAATAACTTACATATCCTGTCAACAAACAAGGATACAGATTAGAATAGGATTACAAATTCAGAACATATGTAGCAATAGCAGAGATTAATTTTTTTCTAATGTGTTTCGAAACTGATTTCATAAGAGAACCCGAGTCAATCCTTGTTAAGGGCGACTTGTGATATATATTTCACAAAATGTGCTGAGGATTCCTTATCTTATGACAATAAGTGTAGAAGCTGTAATCCAAGGTGGAAAAGAAACAATTCCATATCTTGGAGATTTGCATTAAAATAATCTATTATATTAAAGCATAGGAATTAAAGGCCTGTTTTTTAAAACATCCAAAAATTAAATTACAAATAAGCATCTAAGTTAGCTTCCCACTCACCTGTTTTTCGCATCAACTGCCTCTGTACTGTGCTTTGGACTGCTATTGGCCACGCTGGCATAGCTGCGTGTTGTATTGTTGTTGTTTGCGTTGATCACGTTATTGCTGTTGTTGTTTCTGTTGTCATTGCTGCAGGTATGATTGTCATTGCTTGGCTGTGTCATGGGATTGTTGGGGATGAAGATAGGGAAAGTGTCCTTGATCCACTTACGATAGTCTACCACCTCATCTGTTACTCTTACAATCCTACCCAATATACTACAAACAAATATATCAATAATCAGCATATTGTCACATATCACAAAAAGTACAATGTGAAAAAAAAGGAATACAAATTAAGGGGGTTTGACAGAAATATTTATGCATAATAATTTATTAATATGCATTTCATTTAATCAGAAGTCAGAAGTTTTGAGCCATGAGGCAAATCTAATATAATGTGTGTAATAAAGGGTTCTTTGTAGGCACATTTCTATCAAAACCTTTGACATACTATGTGTTATTCTAAGACATTGTTTTTTGTTATTCTGATAATGAGTCAGTATATATTCTAATTTCATTCCAAACCCTAACAGCTTTCAACAGCTCCACCATTTTCTCATTCTTTCCCAAAAGATATGTCAGAATTTTGTAAATACAAAGCTGACTTCCTGTCAGAATTGATAATAAATGTTTATTTTTCAACATAAGTGGGTTAATGACTGTACAAGAATAAAGGATTGTACATTGTAATGTTCATGTTAGAAAATGTGTATTCCTACCTGTGGTTTGGTCCGAGAATATGACTGTTTTGAGGCATCACAGTATAAGTCATGACTAGGTAGGCATATTCAAATGACTGCTTTACTTTCATAGCACCATACGAACTACGACCAATGTCGTTACCTTGAAAAAAAGACAGATTCTTATTAGCCCAGACACCAGTATCATAAACACAGGACTAGAGTTATTCAAGGACTTCTTCAGAGATGCATACCATAAACAATGAGCAACATAGTTCATACTTACCAGACATTTCCTACTATTTGTAAGCTAACAAAGCATTCCAATAGCTGTGTGAACCACTGTATTATACCTATATGCATACCCATATATTACAACATTTAATAACAGGTATATTAGATTCCAATTTGGGTTTTTTTTTATTATTTCAAATGAAAACAATGTTTACCTACTCTCAGTGAGGGGATCCTCTCTATAGATAAGGGTTACCTACCCTCAGTGAGGGGATCCTTTCTATAGATAAGGTTACCTACCCTCAGTGAGGGGATCCTTTCTACAGATAAGGGTTACCTACCCTCAGTGAGGGGATCCTCTCTACAGATAAGGGTTACCTACCCTCATTGAGGGGATCCTCTCTATAGATAAGAGTTACCTACCCTCAGTGAGGGGATCCTCTCTATAGAAAAGAGTTACCTACCCTCAGTGAGGGGATCCTCTCTATAGAAAAGAGTTACCTACCCTCAGTGAGGGGATCCTCTCTACAGATAAGAGTTACCTACCCTCAGTGAGGGGATCCTCTCTATAGATAAGAGTTACCTACCCTCAGTGAGGGGATCCTCTCTACAGATAAGGGTTACCTACCCTCAGTGAGGGGATCCTCTCTATAGATAAGAGTTACCTACCCTCAGTGAGGGGATCCTCTATACAAAGAAGGGATGGCCTGTAGCCGCTATCCATGTTTTTCTGTATCTCCTCCTTCCTGATGTAGGCCCCACCCTTCTTTATCCGTATCCCAGTGTTGATGTAATTGAAGTTCCTTCCATAAAGTTCAAAGAATTCTATCAGCAGCACTCCAAGATTTGCTTCTGGACTAGTGGCATCATAGCGGGGATGAAGCTAAAAAACATGTCAAATTATACATGTGAAATACATTTGCCATTGGCTAATTCTTGACTGTGAGTTTCTACTTGTATATTCAAGAATTGATTCTTTTTCTACATGATGGCACAATTGGTACCTGAAGGTTCCAAGACCTTCAATGCCATTTTATCGTGTATATATTTGAGATGATAAAAATAACACATTATGAAGACACCAGGATTTAGACCTCGAGGAATGAAATATATCAGATTACTACTGTAAATCTGCACAAGCAAAGGGAGTGTGAGCTGTGCACTTGGATTATCAAAGCAGTTGAAATCATTTAAACTATTTTTATATGTAAATGATGAATAGTGTGAAATTTACAAAATACAGTTGTTTAACCAAAGGTAATTGACATGACAGTGACATTTACCTGGAGAAAGCTGACAGTAAGATAGATAAGACTGTAGGAACTGATGCCACCAGTAAACACCTCGTTGAGGTCCCGTTGTAGAAGGAACTGCTTCAGAACCAACACCAGGTACTTCAGGTTGGGAAACTGCTCCATAAATTTCTGGCAAAAAATATATTCATATTAGTCAACATCATATAACAAGCGTGACAAATATACCTATACAACACTAAAATGCATATTATGTGTGATTGGTGCAATTACAAATCAAATTATATGGGTGACTGGTTCATTTGGAGCCCCAAAAAATTCAAATGTGGGGTAAACTTGACACAGAAAATAAGATTTTGTGGGTCAACAATTTAGTTGATTGATTTTTAATGAGATTGAAATTTAATCTTCAATTTATTTTTTCAAATATGCATTTGTTCCCAATCCAAAAGTTCAAGGGATATAACTCATGTTGGTTTTAAAAACTCCCATGGAATGCATGAACTAATGCAACTTCAAAAAAAGGGAAGGATAACTGGAGTATACATGAGGTGGCCACATGGCTTTGCCAATATGGCCTTGAATAATTAATGGGCGTTCATTAGTCCAGCTGATTCATGCTTGTTCGTAATCCAAAATCACATCAATACACTGTAGTGGACTAGCCATAAGCAAGTCTCATTTTTGCCTGGATTTAACATTATGAGAAAATAATGACAACATGTGAAATAAAGTGAAAATGGCATATAAATTGCATTTCTGTCCACATGCAAACTTTTGAGTGTGGCAATATTGTGATTTCCCACCCCCAGTTTTGACACTTCTGTATTTAGTGTGTATATGCAAGCAGAAATAGGAAATATTCACACAGCTTGGGAAAATATACTGACATTTTTATATCAAAATTTGGGGAAAACAGACAATGTTTTTGCTCTGTGAAGCAACATTTATTTGGCTTTGAAAAAAAGGCAACAGAACCAAATTTTGTGCACGTAATGATAACACGGGAAACAAGATAACACAAATTAAAAGATAGACACACAATCATATATATATATTAATACTACAAGTTTAATTTCTATCTATTATTCTAAATTGTTCCATACAATGTATTTAAAAGGAAAACTTCTACCTGAGTACTAGCTTGATGCCTGTTTACCTTGAATGGTTAAAAAAACTGAAATTTGTGATTTGGCCTGTTTCCATGGTAACAGAAAAAGTATTCAAATGGAAACCCTCTCCATACCAAAAGATACTTCTAGCTTAATAAGTGTAAAAAGTTTTGAGCAATTATCTTTAACAGTTTCAGAGCACTGGTCCAGAAAAACTGAATTGTGTGATGAAGGTTATCTGTTTCCATGGTAACAGAAAAAATTTTAGCTTGGGGACTAACCTAATATATACAGAAAGAATTGTGGAGTTAAGTGGAATGGTTTTAAAGTTTTGCCGGGAAAGGAAAATTAACACTAAATTCTGTGTTTTTTGACTAGGTTTCCATTGAAACAGAAAAATATGGAAATGAAATGTTGTCAATAGCAAAAAGTACCACTGGGGCACTAAATTAATATATACAGCAAGTTCTGTAAAGTTGAGCTGAATGGTTTTGAAGTATAGCCCAGAAAAGAGGGACACAAGCATACACACACAGAGCCCAAATTAACAGAGCACAAATGTGTTTCACATTGGGTAATAAAATTTTATTGGGGTTACTTAAAGTAACAAATTTAATTGTGTGAGGATTTGGATTTGGCAAAAGCTCTATTGTATACATGCTTGGGTATTGAACAAATTTTATTGTATGGGTGGCTGGGGTAAAACATAAGGGCCTCCCGACCCCCCATACATTAAATTCTGGCTATGGGTGGCTGGGGTAAAACAATAAGTGCCTCCTGACCCCCTGCAAATTTAATTCTGGCTATGGGTGACTGGGGTAAAACAAGAAGTGCCTCCGGACCCCCCCCCAAAACATTTAATTCTGTAACAGCCCTCACTGAAATCATCGAAACATTGTTCATGATACTATCTTACACATTTCTATTGGTGCCATCAGCATCTGTCACACAAAGATGCATTGCATAGTATTTTATGTTATTTTTACCAAGAAAATCAATACATTAACACCTGGCACACCTTTCATATTCTACTACAATGAAGGTGATTATAAAACTTGTTGTCACAGTAGGATTTCAGTGACAACAAATCTGTTGCTATACCAACAATCTGTAAACTTGAACCGATTTCCAGTTTCTTGACCTTATATCAGGATTATTTTTATAAATATTATCTCTCAGCATGTAATCACAAGCACTGGTAATGAGGCAAAGTTCAATGCAAGTGCAATGTTCTCACTAAATTCTTTAAACAGGTCTTTTGATATTCTAGTATACATGTCAGAAATATATTTTACTTGAAATTTTTGTTAAAAAAAATCAATGAAAGATAATCTAACAGTTTGTGCAGGCAAGCTGTTGTTAATAAAAACAATTGGGAGTATGGCAAATAATTACATACTGATGTATAATGATCACTAATATCACCTTGTTAAATCATATTAGCAACATGTCGTACAGATATCTGCTTAATCCTTTGACAAAATAATTATTCAATTTGAATATCAATGTGCATGCATGCAGCATAAATTGGAGTTTTACTTAACACTGTAAAAGTGACCTGAGCGACTTAAGTTAGTCTTACCCAAGGGTACAATGAAAACACAAGTGTTTCTTAACAGCTTTCTGAGAAACGCAAACTGATCTACGTAAGAATCAAACATTCTGAGTTACATCCCACATTGTAAATAGGGATTTAGGCTTTAACCTTAACATACAACCTTGAAAGTTAGCTCCAGAAGAACACATGATTACCTCTCTAAGGTTTATGAATTTAATTGAGAGCTTCACTCATGGTAAATGTTGGCTGACAGATAAACATATGAATGGTTAGACATTATCAATATTTGTTGACTTTCAGGATTTATGCTTTCTGCAGTGCTAAAATCTAGTGTCATGTTCACATCAACTTTAATAAGTTCTGTTACCTTGATTAGTGCAGCACTTTCCACTGAGTTCTTTGTATTAAAACTGATATCCACTTTAATTTCAGTCTGCAAGTCTGTGAGTTTGACAATAGGGACCTGCAAAAATAAGTATCAATGTATTTACAAATGAACTGACAGTCAAAATCTGCTTCTGAAAGTTGAATAAACCACTGTGGATTCATTTATTTCTGTTGGGTTCAAATTTCATTGTTTCTACAAATTAGACAGTTTCGTGGACGTGAACGTTAGAATTTTCCCTAAGAAAGATGTTTTTACTTGCGTTTTCAGAAGTGTGAGTATTGAATTCCAACGTGATGCCTACAATAACAATTCATATGATGTTTCGCTTCCTTGTCGAAAATTTTTTGAAAATAAATCTCACACAAGCATTTGTCAAAATTACAATGTACTCATATCCAATAAACAATTTCAACATAATCAAAGTTAAAATCAAAGTACTGTAAAAAGTTTACAATACCAAGAAAAGCGAGTGCAGTCCTCAGATGTGTTAGGGTAGATGAACATTTGACGCTGCTGTCAATAAAACAGGTGTGTACTTACGGAGGCCTTGTCCAACACCTTGATGGAGGCGTGGTCAGTATAGCCCTTGTCAAGGAGGGCCTTCTGCAGCATAAACAAGGGAGGAGATTTCCACTTTCCAAACACAACCAGATCTATATCACTGGACAGAAAATAAAACCAATTATTTACATAGCTACTGATTTCAAAAGAAACCCACTTGAAGATCTAATTTCTATTCTTTTCATGGAAAATCTTGAAATATAGTTCATGTCATGTTTCATTTGTAACAAATATCACAGCTTCCTTATAAAATATGAGTTTTCTGAATATATTCATAAGGACTTGAAATGCTCAAATAGTTAATGCCATTTTAAAAGTAATTGTCAAGAAAATTACTCACAGTAATGTGCTTTACTTCTTAAATCTATTTTTTAAACTTTTGTTAAATCTACCATTAACAACATATCCCAGAGTTATCTTTATGCCACCACTCAATAATAGTTATTGGTTCTATGCATGACCAATCTTTTCTCTACTCTTCCATTCTTAGAAAAATATCCAATTGATAAAAGAACTTTTATCACTTCCATGAAAAAATTGTACTTAGCTATTTTTCATTTGATGCAAAATGAACCTTTAGAAAAATGCCACCGAAGTGAACCGAGATCATTTTTTCTTTTTGTCAAACTAGTTAACCAAAAGTCTGATACCAAATTACAAAAAAGACAAACAAACAAAAATAAATAAAGGGAAAAAATGAGAACAAAAACTCATTAACAGAATAGTTTTCAGTATTAATGAATATATCTCAGTCATGTTGAGCACTAATAGTGTACCCCAACACCCTTAAAGAAGGTTAAAAAAAAAAACACCCAAAATTAGTAAAATTCAAGACCAACTTTTACCATAAAATAAAGGTAAATACTCTGCCATAAAAACCCTCCAGTTTCATAACACCAAGAGGAACACTGCTAATAATTTGGCATAGACACTCGGGTTGCAGTCTCTTGAAAGAGTCTAAAATTAAAAACCCACAAACTTCAAATATATGTTATTACTGAAACCAATGTTAGATATCCTCTATATACATATACATCCATTCATTGCATGATCAAATCCTTCAATCTCCTCTAACCTTGTAGGTAGGTATAAGCCGGTCTTGAAGCTGCCAAAAATTTCAACCTGTAAGAGAAATTAATTCTCAATTATCATTATGAACATCACAACAGTGTATTCTTAAGAATTGTCTTTCAATGTGTTATCCGAATACAGTTCCTTACAATAATATAAAATTGTGTATGAAGAGATACATAAACAAAAGATTTGTTCACAATCGAACATGCATACATATATGATTTTGATGTTCTCTTATTGTATTACTTAAAATTATTTGCCAGGAATTTCTCAACCCACACTTTGAAAACATAGGACATACCGAAGCATCTTTCCAAAGGTCTTTGACCACAGACCGTATCCTTTGAACGACCTCTGACCTCATATTTGCTTCCTCCGGTGTAGGAGACATGTACATGAAGAAATCTTTGATTTCTTCATGAAGCCTGTAAAGAAAAAAGATTATTTTTTTCTTACTTAGAAGATCAATTGAAAGGACATATCTGTTGAATGATGCAATTTTAACTCAGCTACAAACTGTATCTAATTTTAAATTTGCGTTGAAAGATGACATTCCCCGAGTGTTTTTCATACAGCCACTAAGTGAAAGTCTTGTCTATACATTGATGATTAGGTCTGCTTATCCCATTACAGGGTCTAAGTTTTCTCGATGAGCAAAGCCATTGACAGCTTGACATTTTAAGTGATCAATTGATGGCTACATATCAAGTAACCTTAGACCAATACTATTCAGAATAAAGAAATATTACAATGTATCTTTACATAGCCTATGTTATTCAATTTTATACATATCAGTATAAATTGGGAAAATATAGTAAAAGCTTTATCTCATATAGCAAAAACACCTACATTTGTCGCAGAGACAAAACCTACAAATATGATGGGTAAAAACAGACAGAAAACATGCAACCAACCAAAAATGTATTAGAAATGAGGTAGATATTCAGGATTTTCCTATTGAATTTTGGTAAAGTAACATACTATGTGTCGGAGGGAAAAAAACCTTTTACAGCAATGACATATAGTGGTCAATAATATAACCTAAACTCCCCCCATGTGAAAATAACAAAAATGGAGCTGTATGACCATGTCAATCAAGTAATACAAAATAAACCTCTAATTCACTGAACATGTCTATAATTCATCTTCCAGGATCAAACAGCTTATCAGTATTAAATCATAAGAATAAAGAATATTTAAAGAATCATTTCTGATTTTCTTTTAGCTCTGTATATCTTGTATATCTGGGTGAAATGATTCAATGTGATTTGATATGCATAATATCTGCTATTCTATTTAATTTTCCATATTGTTTAGCTATTTCAATACACCATTTATCACTTAACAGTCAACCAAACTAGATGATAAACATTACCTTCTGACTGCCATGTCATTAATATTTTTACAATTTTCTTTCTTATTTTTGAAAGCAAAAAAACTTTACATTTTACTTCTTTATCAACTTGTTGGTCAATAGAAAGTAAACATTTTAAACGCACTATACTGATCTTGTTCCAATAAATATTACATAGCAGTTGACTGTAATGTTCCTTTTAAAATCAGGACGAAATATTACTCAAAGCAGCCTTAGTGAATGGTATCATAAATCATATTGTATCTGAGCTACAATGTATCATTAAAGCCCTTATTTTTATGCAATATTTTTCTTTTGGAAAGTCACAGCTGTCTGACATAAATACAAAGGAAATTAGAGCATTATTTCCACAGAGACAGGTAAGATTATCGCAAAAATTTTCTCTTTCAATAAAACACTTAAAAAGATAACTAGAGCTACCAGATTTAAAAAAAAAATTATCTTTGAAATGCAATGTTATTAATTTATTTTTAATGATATCACTGACATTTGATCCAGAGATAGAGTTATGAAACCGGTTTCCCTTTTTAGAAGTCACAAATTATATAATGAAACTAAACTAAAACTGAAAGTGGTTGCATTGGAATCAAATTCTAAGAAAAATACTCACAAAAAATGTTTTTGTATTTAACAGGAATGACTAAGCGGCACGAAAACACATATCTATAAAAGTTTAGCTCCCTGAGACACGTAAAACACATTAAGCTAGCAACACGCGTTATCCGTTTATGTGTGTGTGCTGTGCAACGTGTGTCACCGCGTGTGTCTGGTTTTGGTTTATTGAGGTTAATCAACCAAACAGGCAAACACCAAAACAAATTCATTTTTTAGATATCAAAACACCACTCATATCAATAGGCACACTGGTTTTTACTCACATCACGAATAAGATACCAAATTTTCAAACTTTTGAAAGCCAAATAATCTGTTATTAATCTACGGACGATTTCCCCTATGGTGCCCCGTATTTTTAAAGTTCTTGCACAACACATGTGCACCCATGTTCCGTCTATTGCCAAGTCAATGACGATATAAAGAAACACACAAATAGTACACCTAAACAAATATGCAATTTCGAAGCAATCTATATAACCCATGATTATCTTTACAAACCCAATAACGTCCGGTTGATACTTCTTTTTCTTGGGCTTCCAAGGGGTGAGGCCGCCATCTTCCTTCAACAAATGCTTGTACGACGAATGGTTCAAACCGTATGTACTGGCACGATTGTCTCTCTTTCGTTTGAAACTGTTTTCCTGATTATGAATACTATTCTGTCGATTCGTCGGAGCAGACTTCTGATCAAAATTGTTCGTTATATCCAGAGGAATAAACTCGGCAGGCTTATGATCCAAGTTAGGATTCGAGTTATTGAGAGACATGTTATCAACGCCTATCTGAGCTTCAATTATCCTTGTCCACACATCATGAGCGACACCTAACTGTTCCGGCGGATACCAAGCAATTCTTGGATCCATATAGTCAATTTGAATGAAATATTCAACTCATTCGTTCGTGCCGTTAATTTGCCAGGAAAACTTACTTTAGTGAAGCGGCTGTCACTTTTTTTTTCGAATTTGCAGAGGATGGTTGCCACTGCGCAGGTCCAAAGGAGATTCATGTATTTATCAGAATAACAAAATAAAATTATTAACGAAATGATTTCAAAAATAACACAAAATTTAAGTCTATTAGCAAAAATATGTTCAAGTAGTGTTAATTTTCTTTATCCTAACATTCTAAATCTAAAATATTTCAAAAGTACACAGTTTGCGAAATATAAGCCTTTCATACTTATCGAGTTGCTTTTCGAAGGTAAAAACCACAGTTGTATAAATGAAGCACACTTCACGGGGGAAGCATGTAGCCGGATCCTTTTTGACAGGTCTATAATTGAGGCCCATATGGGGTCTTTTAATACGATTGCTTTCATAATGGTATTTGAATTTGCGATATTTGAATTTTGAAATCTTGGACACCTGCTTTCTACGGGTAAACGATAATACATAGAAAGTAAAATATGGCATGTCCAGGGACATGTGTAGTTTATATATGCGGCATACGTATACTCATTAAGAAAATCTAAAAAGATAGTAAACAAAACTGAAAATGAGATGATATTTAACGGAAATATTAGACAGAAACATATTGATAATTGATAACGACAAAGGTCACAAATACGCCATCAAAAGATAGCACACTACAACCAATATAATGGTATATGCTTATATCTAGTGTTTTTGTATACATACAAATGTACGTGTACATACATTCAGACAGACAGAAAGACAGACATACAGTTGCCTATTGTCATTGAATTACGTAAGGTCTAATGAAAATAACGTAAGAAATTTAAATTAATCAGATTAATAATTGATATGAGCATAGACGATACGTCTCTGATAAGAATACATTCCAAAAGTTTGGAAGAAGCATCTGATAAGGAAGGAACCCTGGATGAACAAGATTTATATATTTATTTCAAAGAAATGTAGAAATTGGGCAAATATTGTATATTTCACCGGCGTGGAATACCTTATTAAATTGAACGGAATCAGATAGATTATTCCGTGCATAGCATCCACGTGTTTATCAAACGGAATTTGATCAGTGTGAGGTGAGGCACCCAGTCACCATTGCATCTGAAATACCATAAAAAGTCACATATTGTATAATTTAGATTCTGATGATAATACAATAATGTGACCGCGTAAAGTTTTGTTTTCGAAAGCAGTTAGTAAATATTCATTTCATCGAGAAAAAAACAACTTTTTTTGAAAACAACTTTAGGTTTTCATGTTTATGTACAATGATCTTAGATTGCCCCCGCTGTGAGGCTTCATGTGGGTGTGTACGTTCAGAAAATACTTTTTCTGTGTTACCATTGCAGCGCATTGGCTTGTCATGGTAAAACTTAGTCTTTTAAGATATTACTGAGCAAAGATTTCGATCGGGTTTGGCACGAGAGTCATCTCTGCAAACTTTCTAACCAGGATTTCGAGGCTTCTTCATAACTGGAGATAAAAGTTGTTCTTGAAATTAGCCTAATATTAATACTGATGTTCTACAAAGTTCCATCCTTGGTCCTCGTTTTTTTCTCATTTGTGACAATTAGGAGAATAAGACCAGATGTTCCAAAAGAGTAATCGTCTTTCGCCTCATCGACGACACCCGCCATATAATAAATCTTGGTCTGTTCAAGTAGTTGAAACTAAGTTATGACATATTTGCAAACGGGAACAAGGGTTGAAAAAAAACCAACAGCTTCACTAACCAGCGTGAAATACGTCCAACTTCACATCGCATACTGATATAGAATACTTCCCAATGAGATCATTACATCGACCGCAAACTTTCCTATAACCCCTGTACTTCTAGAATAGGTGCAAACAATTTGAATTACGATCTTTAAAATACACAAACAGACAATGATAGTGTTAGTCAATTTTGATCCTTACAAAGCTGAAACCCATTTCAAACGTGCTTGGAAATTGCACCCTCCCTCCCTGAATATGAATAATACCAATATTTTTTAACGGTCACGTCACAGAAATCTCGCTATACTTCTTTCCAGTAATTGGTGCTGAAATGATATATTAATCACGGGAACTACCTAATGGAACAGCATACAATTCTGTTATATAAAATGGTTCATGAACTTATCCCAACTCCTTCAGGTCTCAGCTCTCGTGATAACAAAGCTCCTGACCTCAATACTAGTGTTGCTACTAACTTTCGTCTCGGCATCGCTTGTCACACAATTTAATTCGTACATGATTTTTTTCGCATTTCGTAAATTACTGACTCCTAGATTTACTTACCTGACATCACAAAGTGTGACCCCGACCCTTCTACCTCAAAACTCAGACTAAGAAAAACAAAAGTCCCATCTATCTATTATAGTGGTGATAGGATGCGTCGGATTCGGTGTCCAATGCTGGATCAAGGTTAGATTGTAGTTCTCCCAAAATTTTACTCGTTTCATAGAAATCCTAATAATAGTGTTGTATGTATAGAATACTTCTTCCTACGCTTCTTCTTACGATGTGATATTTTTTCTCAACTTCGTTAATCCGCTTGTTTGGAAATGACTATTTACAAAATGCTGCGTTATTCTTGTGCAATTGTGCATTTCAATGAGCTTGGATTCGGGATTTTGAGTTATGTGTCGATACCCCCAATTTTACATGTAAGATTTGTATAAATATGAGTGATGTGACATACATTATTCAAAGTCCCGAAATCGAGCTGCGGTGTTTCTCGCCTCTTGCACTCGAATGCACGGTTCATATGACTATGGGGTTCGAATACTCAGTTTTCATCAAACATTACTTCTATCGATCTTAATGTATTGCAGTGGAATGCTGGGCAACACCCCCAACACCCAACCTAAACATTAATCTGTTACAGGGACTATGAACACAACTAAATAAAACAAAACTTATCATTGTGACGTATAGTGCAATCGTGTCATGATAAGCTTTCCGGTGATATCATTCATACAAGTATTTTATATATATCATATTGTAATGAAAAGGGCTAAAAAAGAGGGGAAAATGTGTCCAATCTGTTTAATCAGCAATAGAATATCTTAAAAAACAAAAATCATGCAATAAAATCTGATTTCCAAATTTCCTTTGAATCATGTTTAGCACCATGGTATGTTGTTGTTATCGTATTTAGATATGATGGTTGTTTGATAAGAAGTAGGTATTAAGAAAAATCTTTAATTCTCAGAAGCAGTGACATATAATAATTATATGTCACTGTCAGAAATTTTATTTAGAAAATATCACTCGGAAGGGAGAGAACGGATTCACGTAATATCAGTTTAGTACTCGTTATAAAATTGTATATATATGAAGTTTGTCAATGTCTTTCTAGTATTAACAAATGTGACAGAACGAAAATATTGAAAATTTCGTATTATAATGAAATGCTAATATTCATTTTAATTGCAAATAAAAATTTAGCACATTACTATCCTGTCATCAGTATAAAACCTATTACATACCAAAATATAATATTACCTAGCGGGAAATGTGTTTGGCTATTGTTTCAATGTGACGTCATAGCTTCATGTCGTCATATGCATTTTTATGTCATGAAATAAATACAATTGTGTGGGGTTTTTTCACGAATGTTTACAAGGGTTACGTTGTAACGTTGAGATTTATGAAACTCGTTAAGATTTTGTTTTTTTTTTTCAATTTGTCCAGCCGGAAGCTCTGTAAAATGGAAAAAATTCTGATGTCCATTTGATATCATCTTAGAATGAAAACCCAAGTAAGATTCCCAACTTCTTAAAAATCCATATCACGGATGCATATGGAAAACAGTGAAGTGAGCGACACAGGTAGCCATTACCTTGAGGTGTGTTTGGAGGAGATGTGGAGATGGATGTTGTTTGTTGTGACCTTATTCAATTGTTTCACTGTTCAACAGTGGCTATATTTTTTCTATAAAGATGACCTTACATGACTCTCAGAAAGTGTTGACGGATATCACACAATATATCACCGTTTCTAGGTCTCTTACAGAATTGAAATTGAAATCACTCATCTACTATGTTTTCAATCAGGAGTCTAGTAGCATGTGCCGAAAGTCTCATCTTTGGCGCATCTCGTGTGCACATATGACTGATGAGCAGGAGATCTTTGATATTTCCGTACACGTTGATCTGTCTCAAAAGGCAGCCTAGACTATAGACATCTGTTGTTTCGTTTGTTCGAAACCCCTTTCGAACTTCCGGTGCCAAATGGCGCAAACGCGCCAGTTTTTCTGATGGGGGATGAAAGGCGCGCCCAGAACGGTAAGAAGCTAGTCCAAAGTCTATGTATTTTAATCTTTGACCTTGCTTACGGGTATACATAACAATATTGTTTGCCTTGATATCGTTGACAAGTATGCGTTTGTCATGGAATTTGTCAAGTCCACGTGCCAGTTGAAACGCTATGCTGATCCAATCAGCTTTGCTTATTTTGTTTTTACTTTGGCGCAAAAATCTATGAAGAGTCTGTCCTTCACCGATAAATTCTTGAATAATACCAAAGCTGTCTTGGTTTCTTGCCTGGTTTGTGAATTCTACAAGTCCAAAACATACCGGTACATATCCGGTGTCGGAAAGATATAACAATTTTCTTGCCTCTTCAATTGCCTCTGTTTTGGATCCATGCTTCTCTGTGAATTCTTTGATACATATTTTCGTGTCTGAACACCGTCCATCCGTGAACCGGATCCGGAACACATCACCAAACGATCCATGGCCCACGTGCACCGGAAGTCCATTTTCTTCGCCGATATTGTAATCAATATGGCGCTGATTGACAAAATGCGGCATTATCAAATCGTAATTGTCATAAAGATGAAGACTCTTGTTAGCAACCACATTTGATATTGATAAACCGCCAAATTTAATGATATCCATGATAGATATTTTTGTGTCTGAAAACAAAAAACAACAAAATCCAATTTTACGACAAATTATTGTTATATGGTCTCGATCCCTGAATTTTAAAGCATAAATGTGGTTTTAAAAATGACAAGTTATCCGCTCTTATATCAAAACAAAATCCTATGACCATTCAACACCATTATCTTTCGCAGAGCCAAATATATTGTAACGGACCGTGTATATGAGGTGTATTACGCTAAACAATATCTACAAAATGTCTTAATCAATCGCAATTTACGGATGGATTCCATGTTCATCTACATATAATCAATATCATTTCCGACATGTAGCAATGTTATACATATCCCTCACTGTATGATGTCGTTATATAATCATCTATACATATTGTACTTTTACACCTAATTACGATACTGTTATGTCCCAAAATGCCTTTTCCAACCATAAGACACAATGCATATCTGACTTAACATGCCAAGACGCGTGCTGTCCAACCATAAGACACAATACTTATCCTTCAGGTACACGGTCACCTTATCTCGATACTGTTACGTCTAAAGATGCTTTGCCCAGTTATCCGTATCTGATATTAACAGTCACGCTCGTAATTCATCAATCTACATGTACATAGTTGTATACTCTGACCTCTGACCCATCAGACATGTAGAATTAACCTCGGGACGAAAACTCGAAAACAGCGAGAACAACTATTGACAGTCATAAATGATGATAATAAAGCTAATAGATATAAATGCTGTCCTCAAAGTTCATACCTGGAATTCATTGTGACCTTGACATTGATCAGGTACGTTAATTATAAGTATTTATGGTATTTTTTTTACGCCGTGGAGCAACACTTTGTCATAACAAAAAAGATTATCTGCTATCGTGACAAACATTTTATATATAAACGATTCAATATGCTGATAGATTCAGGTAAACTTTATAAAATCGTATTTTTGATTGTATTCAAAGGTGCCAGGTTTACAATTGATTAGATCTGAGTAAACAAGTTGCATCTATTCAGATTCGTTATATTGAGAATTTGAATATACAAGATCCAATTAATTATATCTCAGTTGCTAAAATACAGGACATGGTGATTTCTGCTTTGCTGACATACATCCATATTGTGATAATGTAAAAATAAAGAATAGTCTTAAAATGAAACTTACCCGGTACTCGTTGTGTCCTGTCCTTGTGTTCCGTATCCTGATTAAACTGGTCAGTATAGAAAATCAGTTATGCGGACATTTGTATTTCTCTTTAAGTCATGTATGTGGTCATTTGACGGACAGTTGCGACCATATGACAGACTTAATGCATGTACATGCTAATGATGGTCCGATGTTATACATAATTAATATGTGAGGTAAGTAAGGTAGGATGACAGCGCGACCGCGCACTGCTCAATGGTTCTCATGGTGAAGAGAACAATTCAGTACAAATTAAGATATACTAGTACAACCAAAAAATGAAACTGCAGCATACAGGTGCTTTGTCCTTATATGACTTGTATGTAATGCTAAGGGCTTAAAGTTGGAAACCTAGGAGGCGAATTTTGAAGGAGCGGAGAATATTACGCGTATTTCACGACCACAGATAGATTTATAGAGAGGGGAGGCAGCAGGTTTAGCGCTAATTCATGATATTGTTTAAACAAGAAAAAAATAGACGCAGCTATCCAGGCTCTAAATACTAAATTTAATTAGAATTAATCATGTGTTTATCACATGTTTATCAAAAACACGCTGAAATCCTCTACATAATTCAGCTGATTTACATAAATTTCTGTTATAATTTGGTGTAATTTATGTTTTGTTGATATCATAAAATAGAATAATTTTCCCACGTGAGTATTATAGATATCTACATCAGTTTCTGAAGAAAAATGTTAATTATAATTTCATTTAAACAAATTTTATTTGTTAAATATAACAAATGGGATTAGGAACAAGTAATCACAACTTAGAAACGCATTCTCCCAAAAATTACATTTCACATAGATCTACACAAATGTATATGCTTTATTCAAACTTGATTTGCTACATGCATATATTTTAGACGAGAAGAGATAAAAAACAGAAAAGAAATTTAATAAAGGAAGTAAAGAAGAGCGGAAGCGAAGGAGATAGAAACATGTACCAATGAAGTGAAGATATTTACAGAAAACCTATTACTGGTTTAAATAAAAGTATGAAGCAAAATATTTGAATTTAGCACATCGGACAGGTTTTGAGAACCACATGGAAGGACATTAATTGTGACGTTACAACCTGGTATAGAAATTAATTTGATATTTGTTCAATCATTTCTATAAATCTTCATTTTTTCAGTGCAGCTTTTTACATTAAATATGTTAAACTATCCTTGCATATTGATTAGACTTGCATTTAAGTAAAGTGATATTTTGGTATATATTTCTCTCTTCTACGTTTAACTCATTCCTTTTCGCAATTAAATAAATAATGAAATTAATATCCGATGTCGGGGTTACATAATGTACAGGTTCTCTCTGGACGAGGAATACCTAACCGTCTTTCCGTAGCGTGTCCAGGCACAAGGTGATATCATAACCTCGTGTGCGTTGAGAGACCACACCTGTTCACACCTATATAATACAAAGCGTTCTAGGTACAGTGTCCTGGTTGAGCAGTTAACTGAGACAGAAAAGCTACAAATATGTTAACAGATGACATCATCAAGTATTTAAGACGCGCCAATTCCTTCTGGCTGATTCCACGATTCCACACTACTTTTATCGTTGGTTGTAAATGTTGGCTTCATTTCTTCACCCCGTATTCCTTTATAACATAATTCCAACCGAACAATTCATTATTGTTATTATTATTTTTTGGCAGAGTTTTGCAAGTACTTCACATTGGACACATTTGGATGTCTACATTCTGGTTAGCATACTGAATATTTTTTCGCGAAACCAAAGGGAAATAGATATCGAAAACTAGGGATGTGTGTGTATTTATATGTACATTGAAGTTTCCAGCGATATAATATTCGAATTAATATATTGCTAACAAAACTGAAGAGGGGGTTTATTTCTTATCTGTTGCTGTTATAAGTTATTTTTTTCAATATTAGGGACTTATCTTAAACTTATTCACACATTTGTCTGTAGCAACATCCAATATCCGGGTCATGAGTTGTCTACCTTTTATCTCCGTCTTTTCTCTGGAGGAAGGAAAATCATTTTGAGCAGAAAAGAACAAGGTACGATAAGAGAGTAAATACAACACTAACGCCCGTACGGAAGAGGGTGAGACAGCACACAGACACGTAAATATTTACAAACTTATATTCTATGATGTCAAATAAACTCAAAGGTATCGATTTTTCAGACAGGCGTAAATATATTTGTTCGAAGAATTAGAAATGTCATTTAGCGAAAAAAACGCTATGTGTTTCACTGTTTGGCACTCTCGGATTTTTTTCCATTTCTTCCAAGGCCAGTTTTCACGTTTTCAAACACAAACATCATTATCTGTATTGCCTTGGGCATCTATTGACATCATACGGTAACTATTCACTGACAATATGATGTTCATAAACTGGGACTGATTGCCCAAGGAAACTTACTAATAAAATAGTTTCGTTTTCAAATTTTGAACTGAAAAGCGTTAACATACATACAGCAGTATTTTTCCAATAAGAAAATAAACGTTTGTAAATTTAATAAAATTTGAGATATGTTGTATTTGAAGAGTAAATTTATATAAGGAAAATTACACTTTGAGCACGATTTGCTTTCCGTTAGAGAAATTCAGATGATAGTTTGATACTTATTGCACATATTGACTGTGGCTGATGCCCAAAGGAGTCAGGGACCTAATGAATATGATTAAAATTGTCCAATGCAACTTGATTAAATTTTCATTAAGTTGCATTACATATTTGAGTCCTAGACTCATACTTTTCTCATGGGACTCACTTAAACTTTGAGAACCCATTATATTTCTAATAAAATTTTGGAATCAGTACTCTGGAGTCAGCAGAATAAGTCTGACAAAAAATACTGTTTATCATTACTGTAGTTCTAGTTATCTTGTTAACAAGGTAATAGTTTCAGGTGACTATTTAGGCCCATAAACTGGGCCTCTTGCTTTCATGTCCAAATTCAAACAACACTGGATTTTCCATTTTTGATACAATAGGATGCTGAACAGTGTCATGGGTTGACAAGGAAGGGAAATCAATAAACTTAAGACTGGTCACTGTCTCCAGACATCAAGGATGGACAGATATGATGAGGACATTTATGACAACCCCTTCTTTGTCACCCTCACAACAAAGTTTACAGATGTGTATGAGGAGGCCACTAGCAAAAGATGGACAGTAAGTATAAGATCACACTTGTTTTCAATCATGACAAATATCATTAAAATGTAATCTCATATTCTTAAAATTTTACCTTATATGTAAAAGAAAAAATGAATTGATGCATGGAAAAGTCTTTTGAATCTTTTCCTGAATATCTTTACTATTGTCTTATTCATGCTTTGGTTGTTAATCTAGCTAGCAGCAGCTAAAGTCATGTATAAAATATCTTCAGTTTTGAAGTCATTATACAGATCTACAAAGGAATGTCATTTTCATTTTGTAATATATTACAAGTAATAATGATTTAATAAAAACAAAATATTGCTTGATAAATATTACTGTAAGAAAAGCCTTTTAAGTAATTTTCTCAACATATTGAGAAATGTTTATTATAAATGTTTACGATAAACCTTCTGTCAGTCCGAAAACTCTTAACTCTAGACAGAATATGATTGTTTTTATTGAAAAAAAAATCATGTATTTGAACTACAAGCCTATAGGCTTCAGAAAGTTTGGTTTACATTTATAAAGAGATTTTCTTTTTACTGTGTTTTCAGTTGTGTGTTCCCAAGTATTCGTCTGTGGTGAAGGAGTCCAATTTTTCTCGTGAGGACATCATAGAACATGTTGTGTTATCATTAGAGGATGGTGGTGAGGAATTCAAGAGCTGGTCAAACAAGGTATACTAATATTTCCAATTAAAGCTACAACTATATTAAAACTCCAGCATTATATCTGATGATGTTTACCAGAAATTTCATTTTCTTTGCTGTATTATTTCACTTCTCCATTCCAGTACCTTTGCTTTTCTAAGGGTAACCTTGCCACATTTATCTAGTTATAAGCACATTACAATGCTATTTCAATGTCCACTTTCTATGTTTGAGTGAGAGTTAATGTGTTGACTCCTGATGTTACTGGGTAGATAGAATACTCATTGGTTTTTGGGACTGAGGTATTTGAAATTGACCACCATCAGATCTTCAAATGTTAAAGTTAGATGTTCTACCATGGTAGCTTGAAAATCATACTTAATCTCACAGCCTTCTTAGTTAAAATAGACTTAAATGTGAAATTTCATTTATTTTCAGAAATTGACTATCACTAACGGAACTGTTAACATTTTACCAACAAACTCAGAACCAGGAAGAACGGTAAGTAGAACTTAGATGCAGCATCAGCATTAATAGCCTGGAAAGTTAGAAAGAAAAAGAATGAATCAACCTATTTATCTCTTATTATCATGTACAAAAAGGGTAGTTTTTGGGTTTGGCATGGAAGCTGGAGTAGTTTTGAATGTTATATTTGATTAAAGGGTAGTTGAAGTGGAAGTAGCCGTTTTGTGTATCTATGTTAAACATCACTTCTGTTTTAAAATCTAAAATCTAGACATGAAATCAACTTATGTAATAGGCAAAGTGTCGTAATTGTTGTAAGCAAGGTCTAGTTTGAGAAGAAAATAACAGCTAATGCTGTTTTGTTTTCCAGGTTCCAATCTTATTTGAAGAAATATTCTACAACAATAACAATGAGAGTTTCCGGGTTCTGTGTGTCAACTGCCTGCTCAACAGAACTGGTGTGGGTAAGTTATTGTCCTTGTACAATGTGACCACTAGAACAGATGTAAGTAAGTTATTGTCCTTGTACAATGTGACCACTGTCAGAGTCCTTTATGTCAATTGCCTGAACAACATACCTGGTGTGGGTAAGTTATTGTCCTTGTACAATGTGACCACTGTCAGGGTCCTGTATATCAATTGCCTGAACAACATAGCTGGTGTGGGTAAGTTATTGTCCTTGTACAATGTGACCACTGTCAGGGTCCTGTGTGTCAATTGCCTGAACAACAGAAGTGGTGAGGGTAAGTTATTGTCCTTGTACAATGTGACCACCAGAACAGGTGTGGGTGAGTAATTGTCCTTGTACAATATGACCACCAGAACAGGTGTGGGTGAGTAATTGTCATTGTACAATATGACCACCTGAACTGATGTGGGTAAGTTATTGTCCTTGTACAAGATGACCACCAGAACAGGTGACAGTTTGACCACTGTCATGTTCCTGTGTGTCAACTGCCTGCTCTGCAAAACTAGGTTAGTAACTTATTACCCTAATACAGCATGAGTAGGTGTTGGTAAATGTGTAATGTAATTCATCACGTAATGACCTTGTTTTCAGTATTACAGTATTATATTTTGATGCTCTCACAGAAAGAGAATTAGTTAGCTTATCACTAATTTTTGTGTCAGAATTATAAAATGTTTTGTGTTAAACTCCATATTATTCAACTAAATACAACAGGTGCTATCATCACCAAACCTGCTTGACCAGTATGAGCAAACATCTTAGTACATGTTACTTTTGTTTCAGAATCTGGCTATGACCAACAGGAGAAGATCACAAAGCGGCCTACATCATTTGATGAATGCAAAGAACTTTTGTTTGGACATCCAGGTAAGACAATTTCTTAGTGATGTAATTCATTATGCTGGAAACAGAGCTTTGTTTTGTATGAAAATTAATTAATGCATGAGTAATTTAGTACAAATAGATGTTATTTACCAAAAAACAAAGAAAGGGAAGATAACAGTTACCACAAGGTAACCACTCCTATGAAAATGTATTCACAGGATGATAAAAACAGCAGAAAAAAAAGACCAAAAACTTCCAAGATTTTGGTGGGTTTTTTTGCAAGAACATTTAATGAGTAATTTTCAAAATTATTTACATTGCAAGAAGACAATGTGTATCTTTCAACATGTGAATAGGCAGTTTATTTCTTTAATTGAAAAAAATCCTTTGTTTCTTTGAAGAAGTTTAAAAAACAATTTCTTCCTTTAGGTGGACGGAAGACTGAAGAAATGCTCACTAGGCTGCTGGAATCATTTAGTTTATCATACAACAGACTGCGGGGTGAAAGTTTCAGGAGTTTAGTGGATGCTGCCAGTGCCCAGTTTACCAAATCCATGCAGACTGTTCTGAAAGATGCTAATGTAGTGAGTTGATATCATTAATTTATAATTGATCTCTTGTTACATTTAACACAGTAATATCCAAATTTGTGTTTCCTTTAAATTCCTGTATACAGAAACTATATATAAATTATATTTCAATTTCAATTTTAGCAGGACATTTGCCTTTCTATATCTTTTGTGTTTGTAATCACATTGCATTTTCTTATTAGTTGGAATCAGAACAAGCTATGAATTATTTAACATTATGAATGGGTAGTTTGTAATGACTGTAAAATAACACAGTATATTTTCGTATTATCATTTTCATGTAAAAAATAAAACAAAAGAGTTCTCCCACATTTATGATGAAAAAAGGAAATCATTCATGTGTTAAATAAAATACTTGTTTGGTTTTTAGAAAATGAATCTGCATATCTTGTTTGAAAATAACTGCATGAAAATTTAAATGATATTTCCTCAAACAATTGTCTCAGAAAATGTTACGCTTGTTTATGTAAATTACTATGCCTTCATTTTTGTTGGAGAAATACTCCTACTTTATTATAAGAGGAAATTGATATCATATGATATGTAGTGATGTCTTTTTACGTTTGAAAACAGAGACGCACGGCACAGCACAGTCAGACAGACATGGATAATCTAAAGATGGCTGTTGAGGTACGTATGCTCATCTATTTCAAAGCTTGAAAAAGACTTTATAAGCTGTTGATAATGTTTTAAGTAAGCTTATAATGTAAGGTCCCACAATCAGTTTTCATTATGTTCACTGCCATCATCTTACAAAACCCACATGTTTTTTAATTTTCTAGGGTCTATTGATATATTGCTAAACCCATAATAATGACAAAGTCTCAATCAAGAAGTTATGGTGCAGTAACAACTTTGTATAGATAAGATGTTGTCAAAATGATAGTATGTTTGTTGATAAAAAGCCATTTCTAGGTGATATTCCAACCCACACATATTGTCGCCCTGTAGATTTATCAACAAATATGAGTTCATCACTCTGTACCTGACTTTGAATGAGGTGTTATGTTTTTTAAGCCCTGATTCTATTAGAAAACATAAGTATGGTAATGCAAGATAAATGTGTTACCAGGTAATACATTTGAATGGTTTTAAATTATAGATTTTTAGCTGAATACATTTATTACATGAATTTCCATCTTTTCAAAACTTTGACAATTGGTTTTGTTTTCATTCAATGAAAAAATAAATGAATTTCAATTCTTAGACATACATTATGCATGCATTGCATCGCCACCTGTTCCAAACACTGACAGCATGTATGTCGAGTGAAGATTCTGAAGTCAATAAGATGGTACGAAATAGCACAGATGTCAAGCCTCATGACCTTGGTATAAGGTCAGAGTTTGTTCGGAACATTGTATATGCCAAGAAAGAGCTGGTTAGGATCAACAAGTTCAGTACTCCAATGGGGCGCCTCTCTTGTTTGAAACGAGTCGTCACCAACCTAAGCAAGCCGCTATCTCAGAACAATGGGGAAACTAAAGGCAAGTAAATCCTAATATACAAACTACATCATAAAAATAGGTTGAGACACTTTCTATTTTTCAGGAATCCTTATACCTCCCACTTATGTAGGAGGGGTGCATATAGTTATCACTTTACACATGTCTGTGTGTGTGTGTGCATCTGTCTGTCCAACCGTCCTTGATAACCATGTGTACAAGATATCTCATGAATCCATGGACAGATTTCGTTCATATTCACACCATAGCATCATCCTACCAAAGTCTATACCTGATTAGAATTGAGTTGTTATTTTCTATCTTTTGTTTCTGTTTTTGTGTTATATGAGAAAAACTTTTTTTAAGTTAAAAACTGTTTGACCAATTCTTTCCTTATTTCATTCCAATAGAATATATAAAAGCTAAATTGTTGTAAAAAGATGTGGATTTTAATCACTCAAACGATAAATGAAAATGCTTCACTATGAAGTTCTGGCATTTTATAGTAGATCCCTGTTTAACAGCCACATTTTCTTACTGATTTTAACAGATTCCTTGTTAATGACGACAGATGACTTCTTGCCAATCCTCATCTTGTTGGTAGTGAAATCCGAGATTCCTAACTGGTATGTGTGCAAGACAAAGTGATATCAGCTGTTATTGTTTTACAGTAATCATAAAACTAGCTAAGAGTAATCTCTGCTCTCTGTTCAGATCAGAATTTGGGTCTTTATAATGGATGTAACCTTGACAGAAAAAAATTGATCAATAGATCTGTGACCTGTATAAGTTAGAGATTAATAAAAATGATTAACTTCCTTAAGATGAGATAGGGGATCTCAGCCTGAGGGGAAGGTTATTAGGTTGTCAAACATGAGGAGTGCCAAATGTATGACCACTCCCCATGGGTTGATATCTATCTCACCCTAACGGGGGTGAATGATTATTTTCTCTTACCTCGTTTTCCTTGTCTTGAGTGCAAGACCAAGTGTATTGAGTGCAAACAAAAACACCAGGTTGGATATAAATAGTGGTGAGGCCCACACCTCAGACACTTCAGGCCTTTTGTTTTAATCTTACACAAAATATAATTTTAGCGTACATGCCAGTGAAAAATCTCATGTACTTATACTCTTGATACTTTATATATCTTTTTAATGACAACTTGTGGATTAAGATGAGTATTAATCATGATGATAACACAGGATTCTCAGTTTCGAGGATTACTCCAGATCTCAGTAGCAGATGAACTAGTGTATATGTGTGACCTAATAAAGGTAGTTCCATTTCTCGGTCTCGTCATTGTTGCTTGTCTCAACCCTAGGGTAAGACAAGGAAATCGTGCACTGGTAGGTATCAGGCTGACATTTTGTAAAATCTTATTCAAAGTGAAACTCAGGATGAGATCAAACTCGATGTCAGTTGGAAACTTCAAGATAAATTGGATCAAAGATTTGTATGATAGATTGTAATCTTATTAAGTCTATGATTTGCTCAATTCAACAGACAAAATGTAAAAGGTTTTACTGAATTAAGCATGAAAAATTGCTAAGTAATTCAATACTGATATCTTAATCAACTTTCTTTGATGATATTGCAGGACTGCCAATCTGATGTACATGAAATACTTTCACTTCTCAAAGATGACAGAGGATGATGAATACTCGTAGGTATTTGACTATGTACAAGTTACTATACATGGCAGTGACATATTGCTATGGTGTAAGTTACTGTACATGGCAGTGACATGTTGCTATGGTGTAAGTTACTGTACATGGCAGTGACATGTTGCTATGGTGTAAGTTACTGTACATGGCAGTGACATGTTGCTATGGTGTGTTCTTTGGCAAGATACCTTTCTCTCAATGCTCTGGATATCATGTGGCTGTCTTCTGCATGTACATGTGTTCTTTCCATTAGCCATCCGCCGCTTTGAGGAGGTTCTGCCTCAAAATGAAAATGGCTGTTCTAATGACAATAAACCCAGCAAACAAGTAACACAAACTACAGTCAAAAACTTCGTTGTTTCGAAGTTAAATTGACTACAAAAAAAACTTTGATACATTGAGTCTTCGAATCATGCGTGGTTGTTTATATCGACGTTTTCATGTTCATGGCTATATATAGTTGATGACACAATATTTCTATGTGAACAAACACAACAAATACCAAAACACAAGGTTAAATGAAAAGATGCATTTTAACCTTTAAACAAAACATTTTTAATCATGAAAAAGTAAACTTAACTTTAAATAGAAATCAACGGGAAATTGATCTTTTATGTCACTCAGTATATGCATTTTACAAGTTTATCTATAAATGAAACGATGCACAGCATAAAAGTGGACTTCACATGTTACAGTAATTATTTGAGGAGTAATACGTAAAGGTTATAGGCACTATTGAATTTAAAAGAAAGCAAATTATAATGTTTTCTATCAAGAAACAACAGCACTAACATCACACATCTTCAGCTGTAGAAATTACAAGAGTGTTTTGCCGATGTTCTGATAACGGCCAGCTTGAATCTATCGGAGAACGCATGACTGACAGACAAATCACTGTGTTTCTCTTGTCTTAATGCTTAAAACTAGAAAGTGACGCTTAAGGAATAAGTGTTATCATCATACAAGTGATAGGATTTCCTCGGATTGTTTTCCGTAAATTCCGTAAATAATTCCGTAAATAAGACCTAAATAAATGCCATCACCACAGTGACGGTGGTGAACATCACACGATATCCCATAATCTTCCATTAGATAACAAGTAAACAATTAAATTTAAAACAGTCTCCAGTCATTAATTAACCCCTTAACACAAAGCTAATGATAGTGGGCTACCGAAATCCCATTGTCAGGTAGCACTTTTTTTTGAAATGTGTGAAATTTTGCCAAGGGGCGAAAATACCTGTACAGTGTAGGTTAATGTTACGTTGGAATCATGAGGTGTCAATGACTATGTTATCATATGTTACATTCCGTGAAAAAACTTCGTTATATCGAAAAGTTTGATTAATAAGGGGCCAATAAGTAGTAACATATAGGAATAAAATTCGGGACCAGACAAAAACTTCAATACATTGAGAAATTTGATTCATACAAGTTGGATTGTAATTAATTCTGCAAATTCTTATGAATGTAATTAAGAATCAGTCAATGGTGAAAATATTTCATCATCTTCTTCCATATTATTTACCGGTATTTACATTTAGCTTATTCTCTAGTCCTGTTCTTTATTTAGGTTTTACCTGACGACAGTGGAGGCAGCTTTGGAACATATACGCAGTGGGCGCCTCAAGGAAGAGGCCATTAAGGCACACAGAATCATGGTTTGTATGCCATAGAAAATTGTCTGCTGTTTTGTTGTGCATTTGATACTGAAATTTCAAAAAGATATTGTGAATATTTTGACTCATTCAACCCATGTTTATATACATGTACAACTTATAGCAGAACAGAATGTTGTGGTAAAAAAAAAAGAAAAATTCAAATTCTTATTTGTATATTATTCATGTAAGTAGCAAAGTGAAATTAACATTTTGAAAGTGGGAATAACTCAATTAAAAATATCAAGTTTGTGAAAGATTTTATTTTTAAGTCTTTAAATAAGAATATGCCGTAGTGCGGCATCCATCCGTCATCCCCTGTCTGGCATCTGGCATTAACTTTCTTCTCAATAACCGATGGATCAAATGTTTTGATATTTAGGTTGTATGTTCATAGGATGAAGCCCGACAAAGTTTGCTAAAGGAAATAACCTTTAAGTACTTATATTTAAGGTCACAGGGGTCAGATTTGTTAAAAAATTTAAATGACTTCTTATGAACATTTGGCTGGTAGGTTTATAATATGAGGCTTCAACACATTTTGTGAAAAGAAATGACCTTGCCTTATATTAAAGGTCACAGGAGTCAGATTTGTTTAACATTTAAATGACTTCTTATGAACTTAAAGGCCTAGAGGCATGATATTTGGGTGTTATGTATTTACAAGGTGAGTGCTGCAGGCCCATTGAGCTTCTTGTATTTAAGAGGGGAAAAAAAAATCACTTTTATATTTGATGTAATGAATATTCAAATCACTCTAATATTTGATGCAGGGAACGGATACAGCTGACCAAAAAACTGTAGTGGGTCGATCATTGTCAGGCGGAACATCAGTTGTTGACAAATTCTTTCAGGTATTTAATACAATGTCGAGATTAGATTAGGAAATTAACTGAAGAAATTACAAAATTTTACTGGCTTTCCAAGGAATAAATAACAGGAATGAAGACAATTGTATGACATCATTATCTGTTTTAAATAAATATGATTCAGCAAGATAGAAATTAAGAGAGCTTTATAACTTTTGCATGCATAGTATTACATAGTATTAAGTCTGGAGTTCCTAAGGTTTGTGACAAAGAGGGTTGGTACCAATTGGGATATAGATATATCCCTTTCCCTTTAACTTGGATAATATATTTCCATCTTAACAAACAAGCAACAGATGCATTCAGCCTCCTGTTTTAGTTGTTGTTTTATTTTCGTGCTTTCTGTCGCTAGTATGTACAGTTTGGTGACGAGATCGCAGTGACCCAGATGTTGCGACGACCTCATGACTGTCAGGATCAGGTTTCTCTCAAGTTGTGTCACCCATTGTGTAGCTGTGAAAAGTGTGCCAAACTGACCGCACAGCACCGCACTGATGTCAACCTTGTTACTGCATACACACGTGATGATCGTGGTTATACAGGTACAGATGTTTAATAGTCAGCTTGCTACAATTCCTTTGTTTTGATTTTTTAAATTCTGGAGTTGGAAAAGGAATTCACCTAAACTTATGACTGCAAATAAGTTACCTTGTTTTCCTACAACTAAAAGAGTATAAAAAGCTTGCTTTTCTGATGTGATTTGATTTAAAAATCAATGCATAAAAATTAATTGTATTCAAATATCAGTGAACAGCATATTAGCAAAACAAAGTTTTAGGGTTATTTAGATGGATATTTCTAGATATTGCAAATGATTCAAAAGATTATATAAAAACTCCAAAGAGAGAGCCAACGCCTGTAGTTTAGAGTTCAGTGATGTTCAGTCATCCTCCGCTTGGATACCTAAAGGTATGCAGGGCATCCCACAGGGAGAAATAGAAATCTAGGGAGGTGGTAGCACACAACAAGTCAGGGATGGTAAGTTTTAGGTAAAGTAAACCTAAAACTTACCATCCCCGACTTGTTGTGTCCTACTACCTCCCTAGAAAAGATTATATAGGTATAGCACAGATGTACTTCTTTCATAAATCTTATTTTTGGAGTCAGAATTTTTTACTTTGTATTTGTACAAAGAATGCTCTCTATTTGATTAATTGACATTTAAAAGAGATTGACGTTATTTGCTGTTTTTACTTTTTACTTAAGCTCTCCACATTGCGGCCTTAAATGGTCAGGCACACCTAATAGATGTGCTGATAAAGCATGGAGCAGTTGTAAACGCCAGTGACTACCTCAGCTACACGCCCTTACATCTGGCCTGCCAGAAAGGTCACCAAAACATCATTGTAAGTTGTAGGTCAAAAGGTCAAGGTTTGTAGTGGGTGTAACATGTTGTTGTAAGCTCATGAGTTCAAGGTTGCTTGATTAAAATATGCCAGACTTGCAGTTCACATGCAGCATTTTTAATTATATTCTGTTTGTACAGCAGACAAATAACAAGTGCCAGGGTGGAAAATGATGTGCTAGTGTGTAGAGACAGGCAAAGTCTCTTGCTTGAATGTAACAGAACATGCTTGTGTGATCTTGATGCGGGCAAACAGCAAACCTGGCACTTCATAATTGAGTGCTCTGAACGGCACAGGGAATCATTTTGCAATAACTAACACATTTGTACCTGTTTTTGGGAACACATTTCTCAGCAATATATATACAAAAAATCTAAATAATTAACATCTAAGATTGAAGGTTATATATAATGTGAATGCAATACCTAAAGATGAATGATATTAGAATTAATTTTGAACAAAATAAACTCTGATCTTTACTGATGATTTTGACAGTTATTGTTGGTGCACTTCAATGCTGACTGTACCCAGACAGACGGGGAAGGTAACACACCATTACATCTGTGTGTGGACAATGGACATGAAGATGCAAGTATTATATTCAGGGCTCTCACACCCCATTTTGGGACTGGGGCCCGGGGCCCGGGGCCCTTAGAATTGGGAAAAATAATGGTGTTTTCCTAGAATTGGGAAAACTTGGGGTCTAAATTGGGAAAAAAAGATACTATTTTGCATAGGGAATGGGGCCGATATATTCGGCCCCAAATCTGGCAGATCGAGAGCCCTGATATAGGATGTATATTTCACAGCAATCATGAAACAACATTTTTCCATCCTCAAACGTAACAAAAATAAAAATCACCAAGGTGAAGCCAACAGATAATAAATAAAAATTACTATACATACTCTAATTTATGAAGTACCTTTAAAGAAACACATTTTAAAATACAGTTGTATTTAGAAATAGAAAACAGTAAAAAAAATTACTTTCAGCATCTAAATGCCTTTAAAACCTTCTAACATTTTGTGAAAACTCAAATTTGAATCTCTTACATACTGAATATTTATTTTTTTATTTGTTAGTGTGTGAAGGCAATGGTATTTCTGGAACAGGCCAAAACCAAACTGGACGTCAACTCCCAGAATGTCCGTGGTGACACAGCACTTCATCTGGCAGCTAAATGGGGTTATGGTGAGGATATTGTTCAGAATATTGTTTGCTAAGAAGATCAAGTGAGGTTTATGAAAAAAGGATTGTGAATTATGTGGGAAAACATTGTTTAAGGAATGTCTACATCATGATAAAAGTTTTTAGATGGAATCATATCGTTCACATTAATTATACAAGTGAGTTAAGGATTTGTGAATTCTTGCTCTTTATACCATTGACTTCTTTGTCTGCAATATTATAAGGATATTTAAGGTAAAGGTGAACTCATGTAAAAGTGATATGTCTTGGTTAGCCTGAATTTAAGACTAAGGAATTGAAATTTGTTTTAAGTAGTCAACCACTATCCTACCACCGCACTGCTCCCAATATCTTTGAATAGTTAATATGTACTAAACATTTTACATAATTGATGTTGATTTTAAATGTTCAGTTCTGCAAGTTCTAAAAAGAGTTGTCTTTCTTATGTCATTCTCCAGCACAAAATTTATCTCTTGTGTTTAATTAAACATCCAGAGAACATTGTGAACATCCTACTCGAGAATGATGCCCAACCAAGCTTGAGAAACAGGAAGAAGCAGACACCCTTTAACATTGCTCAGAGTTCTAAAGTCCAGGAATTTCTCAAAATGGCTGCCACCATGCCCAAACTGGAAGTGAATAAGAACAGAACAAAAGTAAGTTCTGACTTCAGCAGGATTGGTCAGTTCTACTGGTCAGTTTTACTGGTCAGTGCTACATAGTTAAGATCTCACCAGTTTTTTCTAAAAGTTCTAAAAGAATTTGTTATCGTAAATAATCGGCATAGAATTTAATGTGCATAGTTTAAGAGAAGCTGCTGTGATTCACTTTCTTATGAAGTCATGGAAAACTGCATCACTTTCAACAGTTATTTATGTTACATGACCGCAACTTCAAATGTAAACATTAGGAATTCAGTTTACTTTCTATGAGATGAATTTAGTACTAATTGTTCATGTCACAAGGCCATTTAAGTTCATTACTCTCAAATTTTGATCACATTTTTAATATATAAAGGACAGTGTTATGAAGACAAAACCAAACCAATCATAGTCGTTTTCATCCTAACAATATATTGCACTTTAATTCATTTACCCAAGATTCTAATTGTAAATTGAACTACATCTGTATTTCAAATCATCCAATTTAAAATGATCCTTTATGAAATATTGACGAAATAAGCAATATATATATCGCATGCCAGGGCCCTTGATAAACATATTCATAGCCAGTATAAGTTTAGATGTTGTTTTACATTTGTGTATGTCCAATAAAGTTACTTATTTCAGAGTGTAGTAGACTATAAGATTGTTTGTCTTCTGTTTCAGAGTATGGTAGACTATGAGATTGTGTGTCTTCTGTTTCAGAGTATGGTAGACTATGAGATTGTGTGTATTCTGTTTCAGAGTATGGTAGACTCTGAGACTGTGTGTATTCTGTTTCAGAGTATGGTAGACTATGAGATTGGGTGTCTTCTGTTACAGAGTATGGTAGACTATGAGATTGTGTGTCTTCTGTTTCAGAGTATGGTAGACTATGAGATTGTGTGTATTCTGTTTCAGAGTATGGTAGACTATGAGATTGTGTGTATTCTGTTTCAGAGTATGGTAGACTATGAGATTGTGTGTATTCTGTTTCAGAGTATGGTAGACTAAGATTGTTTGTATTCTGTTACAGAGTATGGTAGACTATGAGATTGTGTGTATTCTGTTTCAGAGTATGGTAGACTATGAGATTGTGTGTATTCTGTTTCAGAGTATGGTAGACTATGAGATTGTGTGTATTCTGTTTCAGAGTATGGTAGACTATGAGATTGTGTGTCTTCTGTTTCAGAGTATGGTAGACTATGAGATTGTGTGTATTCTGTTTCAGAGTATGGTAGACTATGAGATTGTGTGTATTCTGTTTCAGAGTATGGTAGACTATGAGATTGTGTGTATTCTGTTTCAGAGTATGGTAGACTATGAGATTGTGTGTATTCTGTTTCAGAGTATGGTAGACTATGAGATTGTGTGTATTCTGTTTCAGAGTATGGTAGACTATGAGATTGTGTGTATTCTGTTTCAGAGTATGGTAGACTATGAGATTGTGTGTATTCTGTTTCAGAGTATGGTAGACTATGAGATTGTGTGTATTCTGTTACAGAGTATGGTAGACTATGATATTGTGTGTATTCTGTTTCAGAGTATATAGACTATGAGATTGTGTGTCTTCTGTTTCAGAGTATGGTAGACTATGAGATTGTGTGTATTCTGTTTCAGAGTATGGTAGACTATGAGATTGTGTGTATTCTGTTTCAGAGTATGGTAGACTATGAGATTGTGTGTTTTCTGTTTCAGAGTATGGTAGACTATGAGATTGTGTGTATTCTGTTTCAGAGTATGGTAGACTATGAGATTGTGTGTATTCTGTTTCAGAGTATGGTAGACTATGAGATTGTGTGTATTCTGTTTCAGAGTATGGTAGACTTTGTGTGTATTCTGTTTCAGAGTATGGTAGAATATGATATTGTTTGTATTCTGTTTCAGAGTATGGTAGACTATGAGATTGTGTGTATTCTGTTTCAGAGTATGGTAGACTAAGATTGTTTGTATTCTGTTACAGAGTATGGTAGACTATGAGATTGTGTGTATTCTGTTTCAGAGTATGGTAGACTATGAGATTGTGTGTATTCTGTTTCAGAGTATGGTAGACTATGAGATTGTGTGTATTCTGTTTCAGAGTATGGTAGACTATGAGATTGTGTGTATTCTGTTTCAGAGTATGGTAGACTATGAGATTGTGTGTATTCTGTTTCAGAGTATGGTAGACTATGAGATTGTGTGTATTCTGTTTCAGAGTATGGTAGACTATGAGATTGTGTGTCTTCTGTTTCAGAGTATGGTAGACTATGAGATTGTGTGTCTTCTGTTTCAGAGTATGGTAGACTATGAGATTGTGTGTTTTCTGTTACAGAGTATGGTAGACTATGAGATTGTGTGTTTTCTGTTACAGAGTATGGTAGACTATGAGATTGTGTGTTTTCTGTTACAGAGTATGGTAGACTATGAGATTGTGTGTTTTCTGTTACAGAGTATGGTAGACTATGAGATTGTGTGTATTCTGTTACAGAGTATGGTAGACTATGAGATTGTGTGTTTTCTGTTACAGAGTATGGTAGACTATGAGATTGTGTGTTTTCTGTTACAGAGTATGGTAGACTATGAGATTGTTTGTCCTCTGTTACAGAGTATGGTAGACTATGAGATTGTGTGTATTCTGTTACAGAGTATGGTAGACTATGAGATTGTGTGTTTTCTGTTTCAGAGTATGGTAGACTATGAGATTGTGTGTTTTCTGTTACAGAGTATGGTAGACTATGAGATTGTGTGTTTTCTGTTACAGAGTATGGTAGACTATGAGATTGTGTGTTTTCTGTTACAGAGTATGGTAGACTATGAGATTGTGTGTCTTCTGTTACAGAGTATGGTAGACTATGAGATTGTGTGTATTCTGTTACAGAGTATGGTAGACTATGAGATTGTGTGTTTTCTGTTACAGAGTATGGTAGACTATGAGATTGTTTGTCCTCTGTTTCAGAGTATGGTATACTATGAGATTGTGTGTCTTCTGTTACAGAGTATGGTAGACTATGAGATTGTGTGTATTCTGTTACAGAGTATGGTAGACTATGAGATTGTGTGTCTTCTGTTACAGAGTATGGTAGACTATGAGATTGTTGTTAAGAAAGAAGTGGCTTTGGAAGCTCCTCAGCCCCAGACCCCAATTACCCATGTAGTTACCTCCCTTGACCAAGAAGAGAATCGACAGATGGAAAAACTGTACAATGCTATCAGTGATGGGGATCTACCAATGGTATTACTCATAATGCTTAGATCTTTATAATGTTTCTATTTTTGTCTTCCTATTGCTCCAACGTAGCGATAAAAATATTATCAAATATTTTAATATTCTTCTTGAAAAGCATGTTTAGTCAAACCTGTATATAAAGGCCATTTAAGACAACACAGAAAAATGCAAGTGTCCCTTTCATACAGGTTCAAGTAATATGAACTGTATGACATGGGAACCCTTAACCACTTGCCTTCTTAAGGCAGGTTTACAGTATTTCTGTTATAATATTTTCAAACACATTGTCATTCAAAATTTGAAGAAAAAGTTTTGTGATTGACTGATTTTAAGTCAAGACAAAACTTTATGATAATCACCATCTGAAAATTTCATTTCAAGACTTCTTCATCTGTCATATCATGGTGATATTGAACGAGCTTGTTTATTTGTTTGTAATGTATTGATTTCTTACCTGTGTTGTAATGTTTGTGGAACAACCTGAGAACAAACTGAAAAGATTGCTTGATATTGTCTATCTTACAATCTTGTAATGTGTACCAGGAACAGAGAGGCACAGAGAGGACAAATTTAAGATGGGGGCAAAACTTTGTTGCACTTCTTCTTGAATAAAATTCTGAGAGGGTGAAATGAACATGAGATGAATTTGTGTATCATCATACAAGGGTAGAAATAACCTAGGGTGGAAGTAACCCAGTATACAGTATTACCTGTGTAATTTTTATTGTACTTCTGAATTTTAAAATGCATGACATGTAAAACAGTATAGAGCCGGAAATGGGATTTTGATATTATGTAAATAGTTGTTTTAACCGTTCAGGTGAAGTTCCACCTTGGCTGGAATGACTTTGATGATGAAGATGATTTTGAGGTTTCACCTGCAGTTGGTGTGGAGCTCTGTCATCCGCTCTGTCAGTGTGCTAAATGTCTCCCCATACAGAAGGTAAGACCACTGCCAATCTGTCAGTGTGCTAAATGTCTCCCCATACAGAAGGTAAGTCCACTGCTACCCTGTCATTGTGCTAAATGTCTCCCCATACAGGAGGTAGACCACTGCTACTCTGTCAATGTGCTAAATGTCTCCCCATACAGTAGGTAAGACCACTGCTACCCTGTCATTGTGCTAAATGTCTCCCCATACAGGAGGTAGACCACTGCTACTCTGTCAGTGTGCTAAATGTCCCCATACAGAAGGTAAGACCACTCTGTCGGTGTGCTAAATGTCTCCCCATACAGAAGGTAAGACCACGGCTACCCTGTCAATGTGCTAAATGTCTCCCCATACAGTAGGTAAGACCACTGCTACCCTGTCATTGTGCTAAATGTCTCCCCATACAGGAGGTAGACCACTGCTACTCTGTCAGTGTGCTAAATGTCCCCATACAGAAGGTAAGACCACTCTGTCGGTGTGCTAAATGTCTCCCCATACAGAAGGTAAGACCACTGCTACCCTGTCAGTGTGCTAAATGTCTTCCCATACAGAAGGTAAGACCACTGCTATTCTGTCAGTGTGCTAAATGTCCCCATACAGAAGGTAAGACCACTCTGTCGGTGTGCTAAATGTCTCCCCATACAGAAGGTAAGACCACTGCTATTCTGTCAGTGTGCTAAATGTCCCCATACAGAAGGTAAGACCACTCTGTCGGTGTGCTAAATGTCTCCCCATACAGAAGGTAAGACCACTGCCGCTCTGTCAGTGTGCTAAATGTCTCCCCATACAGAAGGTAAGACCACTGCTACCCTGTCAGTGTGCTAAATGTCTTCCCATACAGAAGGTAAAACCACTGCTATTCTGTCAGTGTGCTAAATGTCTCCCCATACAGAAGGTAAGGCCACTGCTATTCTGTCAGTTAGCTAAATGTCTCCCCATACAGAAGGTAAGACCACTGCCGCTCTGTCAGTGTGCTAAATGTCTCCCCATACAGAAGGTAAGACCACTCTGTCGGTGTGCTAAATGTCTCCCCATACAGAAGGTAAGACCACTGCTATTCTGTCAGTGTGCTAAATGTCTCCCCATACAGAAGGTAAGACCACTGCTATTCTGTCAGTGTGCTTAATGTCTCCCCATACAGAAGGTAAGACCACTGCCGCTCTGTCAGTGTGCTAAATGTCTCCCCATACAGAAGGTAAGACCACTGCACGATTCATCAACTTCAGTGATATGTAGGAGATTTGTAACAGAGGTATCTCTATAGACAATTTTCTAAACCAGATTTTTCAACCTCGCATTGAACTTTTATTTCTGCCCACTGTTAAATTCTCCCTAAAGGTAAAAGAAACATTTATGTCAGCTTAAACGTTTATCTTTCTATGTCTTTGCAAGAGATTTCCCTTGAATATAAGGGTCATACAGCAGAGCTTTGGACTTTGCCCCCTTCAGTTGAAGATTCCAGTTACGCAGACATAGGCATGATCTCTACATTAAGAGTAGTGTGAATGTCTCAGAAAGCTGTGTCTAGTGCTGTCGTGGTTATGTCCTTGCACAAGACTTATAACCCTCAGTGAGATTGCCTCTAGCTACTACGAATAAAAATAAAACATGAAATCAATTTCAAATTGAATGACTTTTCAGAAATGATATACAAGCTGATATCTACTGGTAACCAACATCCTTCAATACAAGGATGGATAAAAGTATGCCATACTTCCGAATCCTTCAGTCATTTTCTAAGTGAAATACTACTTATACCTGCTATTTCAAGAAAATTATCATCATTAAAGTGATGACTTTATTATCAGAGAAATGATTGAGATGCAATAATCTTGTCTTTATAAAAGTGAGTGTTTTTGGGTTCTGACTGTATCAAGGCCTTCATTCCTGTTTTAAGAAAATCATTGTCACAATCTGATGGATATCCATGATTTTGTCCTATTTCTAGTGTGATTATTCCTTTTACATCCTGTTTCAGGGTATGGAAGATCTATGTCGATATATTAAGTGTAAAAGGATTCTTTTTCAGAAAATTATAAACACTTCCTTATAAGGAAATGCAGTATTGATATTGATTATGTCTATGACATTTCAACATTTATGCTTGAGCTGTGTTTCCGCTGTTTTTATCCTAATCTTGGTTACATAATGCAAATGTGTGCTATTTTTATGTATCATAGAACTACTTTTTATTTCATTTTTTATATTAACTATTTCACAGCCTCTGTTTTATGTGAGTAGATATTTTGTATCTCTCTCCAATTCATATGCTATACCCTTATATACAGCAGCTGTAAAATGATTGTTACAATCAGGTGCATAAAAATACACTGATAAATGGTCAAAAACTTTAAATTGCATGAAAGATTATCATTGAGAAAAAACATATCCTAAGTTAAAGGAAAAAGTAACTTCTGGAAATGAATTTTGATGATTTTTTTCAAATTAATCATTTTTGTAGTTTTTATTCCTTCATCAAAAACAAAGTTCTTAAAAAAAATCAGTGAATTTGATAAACAATTTCACATCCCCTCCCTCTTATTGGCGGGCAGACATTTATAATAAATCTTTATTTAAAGGTTAACTTCAAAAATACTTTCGTTGAATTTGTATTTCAGGGTTCTTAGGTCGGGTTAATTGTTACTATTTATAGAAATTTGTCAGACATTGATGCCAATGAAGGAAAGGCTGAACCCCATTTATGTCTTACAAACATTCATGTCATGACATGTATATAAAAATGATTTTAAACTAGTTTTAACTAGATTAATAAGAATGATTAAGTACTTCATATTCACTTCACTTTTAATTAAAATATATTCATAAAGACTAATATGAATATAATTCCCTTAATTCACATTGTTCTGATGTATGATATATTATATTTAAAATATATACATTGTACAATCATTATTGCTTTTTCACATTTAATACCTCCTTATTACTTTGATGCTTTCAAAAATCCATCACAAGAAGTCTTGAAAGAAAAAGAAAATACTATTCACATATTGTATGCATTTTATATTATTGTGATGAAAATCTGTTTGGAAGTCATTTTTTTTATGATATTTGTCACATTAATTGTTTAAGATAATTTGATATTGTGATATTATCGGCAGTAAGTTTGAGTCACTGGAATTTGACTGTGGATATCAGAATAGCAAAGAAACATGACTGGAAGTGTATAAAACATACACAATCAATAACAAGATCTGTGTTTTTACCTTGATGTCCCTTTAATAGTTTCAAAACATAATTTTAAAAGAATTAATGAAGTATCTTTTTAGTAAAAAAGATAGAGAGACTTCATAATTTTCTGTAACTTTCATATTGTAATGTTAGATTGTTTCTCAAGCCATTGACAAGCATTTTCTGGTAATTGCAACATTTCAGTTTTAACAATAATGTTGGAGTTGTGAGGCTAGGCATTCCCAAAGTTTAAAAAAAAATCTTTTAAAATATTTTTGGGAATGACCAGAACAATATGGAGATGTGCCACCCCCCCCCCCTCTGTACCAGAGAGTTTTCCCCCTTTTATACAGAAAATAAATCCAATATTGTCTGGCTATTCATTTTGAGAAATAGCTGCTTTCTGAGCATCAAATTGACTTGAAATTTTTATCACACCTTCATTGAACAGTACCATTTAATATGAAACATGGTTTCTTTTTCTTGTTTTGTTTTTCTGAAATTTTGGTTGTCCTGGTAACTGAAAATAGGTTTTAATATAAATGGTCATTGCCCCTTAGTCATTCAACAGATTTTATTATTTAGCTATGTTCAATTGGTATAACCAATTAAAACCTATATTAGGATACATTAGGTGTTTCAGTTACTAGTTACACAATCCTGGCCTCTGATTGTCTTTCAACCATTTTTGACTTTTCAAATGGAGTTTGGACCATATGGTCCAAATTTAGTAAATAATCTTTGCATATTTGTTGGAAGGGGTGGTTGGTATTAGTAAGTTCAGGATGACGGTTCTAGTTCAACCAGCTTTTATCATGATCCCTCACTACTAAAATAATACTGCAATAAAATGTTTCCATTGCTAACATTATTTGTAAACTTTGCAAATGGATACCTACTTAAATATCCCGCTTGCTTATGACATATGTTTTAGCTTGGACAAAGAGCTTCATTCAAAACAATGCTTGATATTGTCAGGGTTATTTTTTAGTAATTGCACTTTTTTTTTTTTTTTTTTTATAAAATCCAGATACAATTTGTTTTACATCATTAAAATCATTAATTTTAGAGGAGGATGTATGCCATTGAGTCTTGTGAACTGTCATAATTAGTACAAGCACATTTATAGAGCTATATTTATTCACAAAATCAAATGTTTACGAATCAGGGGTTTTTTGAAAATCATGAAAATTGATCCTCACTAACATATATGGTTTTACATTGTGACTGTGTTGATATGTTGTTAATAGATAATGTGTGTGTCAGCTAGCCATACAGCTCAGGTTTATTTAATATAATCAGAGATTTGCAAATTTGTGACCTTGTTCCAGTAGACGTAGCTTTCAAAAGATGTAAATTCCAACAGGGGTCAATTACTGTAATATTTCATTCTGCAGATATTTATCCACTTAGGCTTAGTTTTATCTTTCCTTGTTGTTATCCCCAGTCGGAGGGATATTCAAAAGGGTTCCGTCTGTTTGTCCTTCCATCCATCCTTCTGTCCATCCTTCCATCTGTCCAGATGATGCTTTCTGCATCTTTTGAAGGACTGGAAGGATTTCAAAGAAACTTTGTTGGTACACTTGTACACTAAATCTCTTGCCCAAATTTGATTAACAGCAAATTCAGTGAATATTTAATTAGGCTGCTGTGACCTGATTGGCTGATTTCTTTCATCACTTTATGGGAAATCTGTCTGCACATTATCTTATGATGATATGATAAGATCTGTAGGAAACTTGCTTTGTAGACTTATTACATTATTCCTTGTTCAGGTTCGATTATTGGCAAATTCTATGCACATTTTATGTGGCTACTGGGATCTTCGGGCACTCTTACTGAATGCTTTTACGCATGCTATCTTTTGAAGGAAGAAATGAATTATTTGCTTGGTAGACTTGTTACCTTACAAATTCTGTGTGTGTTTAACAAGCTTACTGGGACCTGTTTCTTGTTTTCCTTGTTAATATATATTTTACAAATGAACATGGCGGGGGATCGTGATGACTGTGTCCTAGTTGTTACTTGAACTGATTTAAATTAGGTTAAAAAAACCTGATGACATACATTCTTTAGACCATCCTTTAAAAAGACCACTTGTGTAAAGAAAAAAGAAATGGTGTACATAAATCAATTCCATTGTTTGCTTAATCATGACCGACTGTGTTAAGATATCCAACTATTAGGAGTCAACATGCAATAAAAGATCACCTGAATTAAGGGACCACCTCTATTACGAGGGTTCTCTTTTAAAAGATCTCACAAGATGCTAGCTTTATAGAGTTCAGCCATTAATGAAAAGATCACCTTTATGAAGAAACCACTTGTATTAACAGACTGCCCCTGTTGAGAAACCATTCAACGAACCTCCAGAGAGTGGTCTTAGCATATAGATGTAACAATTTTTCTTTTAAAGAGATGTTCCATCCCAATTGCAAAATTTCTGGCTGTTCTGTATCATTTATGAACCCATTTTAATGACTTTAAAAGCTATGGTTATCATCTCTCTCCTTTGGACAGTTTGGATCGATGAAATTGGCCAAACTGTCAAAATAGAACGCATCAGAAAATCTGGAACTGAAAGGTCACCAGAACATAGATATTATGCAGAGTATTGGATAAATACACAAGTGTGTATGGGCTTCACTTCTGCTCGGGGTACAGTTTTATTACTTCATTTTCTCTTGATTTTATGATTTACACAAATATTTTATTCTGTACAGCTTATAACAATTCAAACCTGTTATGACACAATCAGGGCTGCACAAATGTTTGTAGATTGATCTAGCAAGATATGTAATAATTTCTGCAAAATAAACATCCTATGTTTGTTTTAATGGTAAATTGAGGTGTACAATTTCCATTAGTACGTGGATGATTTTGTACAGTTTTCTTTATAATATCCCATAAAATCCTGACTTGTAATGAATATCCGTTTATTTTAAAACATACTCAGCAAAAGCAGTTTACTCTTATTATGTACATGCATTGAAAAAAGCACATGGATCTGATGGTGTGTGATAAAATAGCACTGTATATCCTTCAATGATATTCATATATATGTAAATGGAATCAAACTTATGTATGACTCTTTGGAATACCAACATTAATTTTATGAACATATTTATAAAAGCAGACTGTAATAATGTTTTAATAGCTGTCAGTACATGTGATGATGAGTTTCATGTACAGAAAATTTTGCAGAAATTCCTACAATCTGTCTCCCATGAGTTTTGATGATAATTTGAATATTTTGACCAGAGTTCAAAGGCAGATAATTTGTACCATTGTATAACTCTTCATTGACTTAGTTCAATCAAAATATAATTGTTTATTGTAAAAGTAATCCCTTGTTGTTTATTTAAAATTTAATCCCCTGTTTATTTAAAATCAAATCACTTGTTTATTTGAAATTTTATCCCTTGTTTATTTTAAATGAAACCTATTGACACTGTAAATATAATTCCTTGTTGGTATGATCCTAGCATTTCTTGACAAAGTTGTGATTTGTATTTTCCTAGATGTCAAGCTCGGGAAGGAACGGTATCCATATCAACACCCAGGATAAAGCCGGCTACTCTCCACTGCTTCGTGCCGTTTTATGTGGGAACTTGGAATTTATCAAACTGTTCCTGAGGAGAGGTGCCAGTGTCAATTGTCATACAATAAAGGACATCACTCCTCTCCACCTTGCCTGTTTCCTTGGTTATAATGAGGTAAGAAGTTCATCTACTGATTGGTTGTCTTGTATTTCGTTACCAGCTGATTGGTTGTTTTGTATTTTGTGATTTGCTGATTGGTTGTTTTGTGCTGTCCTGTATTTATAATCAGCTGATTGGTTGCCTTGCACTTTGTCATTTGACATCCTCACATTTTCATTTTTAGATTGCCAAGGTGCTAGTCAAGAATGGTGCCCAGACCGATTTAAGGGACTTAGCCGGAGATACCCCTGTTCATATATGTTGTGCTAAAGGCAACCTTACACTCCTCAACTTTCTAGTGCAGGTAAGTTGTGATTATATTACTTCTACAGAAATGTCAATCATTTTTCTAAGGCAACCATCCTTTGGTGACCTGTATCCTAAATTTAATTCAGATAGGCAAGTGACAAATAAAATCAGTGTTGCTGCAGTTATTCAGGTCATGTCATCCTTCTGTCAGAGTTTCTCCTTTAATTGATTTGAGTAAAGCAATTATGTCTTACCAAAGGGAAGTATGGCCTGAACAGGACTTAGAGGCTAAAGGGGTTATGAAAATAAGTTTGGTGTTGCCCATGCCAAGCGCTGAAATCAAGTCTATTTGAAGGTATGTCATATATCCTTGTATTTAAGAATGTCATATTACAACAGTCATAAAACAAGTTATTTCAATTTATATTAATCAGAAGTATGAAATTGATCCCTCTCATTAGCCTGGATGGAAGTGTGCAAGGGGTTTCACTGTAGGAGGATACCGGAGTACCCAGGGAAACCTCATGTGGTTGGGCATGTGGCACCATTACTTTACTTTCATGTCCATTCAGAGAGTTAAAACCTGTCTGTCTAGATGAAGGGATGTGTGTTACAAGTGCCCCACCCTTAAGAATAAATTGTCATCAATTTTCTTGGTTGAAAAGATTCTGAAGCAGGTATAGAATCAGATTGATGTATCTCGTAGATCTATTTGATTTATCAACCTGAAATTTCAATTGTTTTTTTGTTACTGCCTAGCACAAAATCTTTGCTATGGGAAAATATTTGTTGTTTTCGTAGTTATAGACCAACCTTAAAAATAGATATATTACCAATTAGGCTTCAGATGATAGAATTATGAGTGCCTCTGTGGGACATACACAAAAGGTTTTACTCAAAGTGACATCCTGAGCTTAAACCATGAAAGAAATTACCAACAAACGTTTTGTAATAGATATACATTAAATGCCAAATTCATGGTAGCATGAATTTGCTTTCAGCACAACTTAGTGTACTCCTGTTTTCTAATTGTCATATTCCCTATCAAACATAGTTTTAATGTATCATGTGATATCATTTGGTTTGATTGGTTGGAATGGTTACATCTGTCTTTGCTAAATAAATCATACAATTTATACCTTAAATTACTTGAATTATTTGTCGATGTTTGTGGATCAGAAAGTTTCTATATCATGAGAATAAAAAAATTTACAGAAAAAATCTTGGTTCTTGTTGTGTTAAGTTCTTATTTTACTTGTCACTTTCAATATTGAACTGTACGTACCTACACAGGTTTTGATACTGATAAGAAGGTCAAATTTCCAATTCATTAAGAACACCTTTTAGTTAAGATATTTGAAGAATAGTGGGCCGTGGGATTAAACTTGCACTGGTGTTACCAGTGTCTCCCTTCAAGCTAGAGATTCTTGGCAAGTTTTCTTGTCCCTGTGTTATCACAGCTTGTACCTATATTTTGACACCACTATTATGAGCTAATGGACTGTTCAGACTTCCCTTTTGTGGTCCGCCATATGTTGTTAAATAGTTCTTAGTTGCTTCTCAGACTTCAATCCAGGCTAAGATGCAGAAATTTGATTGGTTGAGAGGTCAGGTTTTGCGACCATACCATATTTGCAGGGAAGTGCAGGTTGCTAACGTAGATGGCATTGACTAATTTTGATATAGTGGCTTAGCAAAACATCAGGTAAAGATCTGATAGATGAATGAGGTAAGATGTAAAAGTTACCTCCCTTCCACCATGTCATTCAATGAAGTCAGTGTAAGCTGGTTGCACCAGAAATCTTCACCATGTAACCTTAATTATGTAAAAAAGGATCAGTGAAAGTAAGTTCTAGGATCATGGTTGTTGTCAAGGCTATTTATAGAGAACATACCTAATAAGGACAAAACACATTAGTTAAAAAAATCTTCTGTTGCTTTAATACATAAATAAAACTATATTACTTAATCACTGAACCGAAAAATGGTTTGTCTTGAGATCTGGTTCTTTTGATATGAACAACATTCTAAATTGGTGAGTTTCGCTTTGGTTACTGGTAATTCTTGGCACTTAATAAGCCAAAATGGTTGTGTTTGTTGGGTTCATTGGGCCATAAACAGCCAGTCATTTTGAGGCGGTGTCTCCTTGTAGTTACTGGTAGCTAAACCACTGAACAAAATAAGGGAGGCCTGTTGTATGCTACCCAGAGCAATTAGGGTAAAGCGTCTTGCTGAAGGACACAACCACATCAGCACAGACTAATCTGTTTTTCAGCTTCCTGAGAAACACAAACTGCCATGGATGGTGAGCATCCAAACAGGCGCAGTGGCTTTTCATCTGAGATTATATATGCTAATGCTGTAATCAACTGAGCTATGGTGGCCCCCAAAGCCAGAATGTTACTACATCCCAAATATCCTGATTTACAGTACAACTTACACCAATCAGTTTAATGCTTATTCTACCTCAAAGTTAGTAAAAGAAAGTATGTAGTAAAAACTTGTACAACAGGGGTCACACCAGCAAGTTGTACACCTATTTAGATTTTGGTAGTCATTGGTCAAGAGTAAAGGTTAAAGGTCAAACTTCAGTATTTTTTTTTTAAAATAAAAAGCATATGTATTAGAATGTATGAACTCCTAGACACAATTTAACATGACACCCTCAAGTTCTAAATCTGATTAAACTTTGGTGGTGATTGGAAAGGGTTGGAAGTCAAAAGTAACACTTGACTCTTTTTGAAATAAAATGCTTGTGCACTAGATATCTCATGAACCCCTGTATTTATAAAGAAATAAAAGATTGGGGAGTGGGTAGATATATATCTATATGAACACTTGCTCACTTTGTTTTTATAAGACAAGGAAGAAATATTAATGCCGCTAGGATTAATCAATGGACTGAAAGGCTAACCCTGGGAAAGGTTTCCTAACAATATTATTGATGTCTCATTTAACATTCAAGATAATTATTATACATTTATTTATAAATATGTAATGTAGGACTTTGTTTTGATGGTCCTTAAGAATTACTATTATTGGAGATGAGGATAATACCTAAAGATCTTCTAATACTTAAAATTAGTGTATCTACAGTTACTGTTGTAATTAACTCTGTAACCCTTGTAATGCTCATTATCATTATATATGGGTAATAGTCTCTCTCTCTTGTAGTGATATCATGTTATGAATAAAGGACACTTTGGTATAATGCTATCATATCCCATACTGGGCTTGACAGTAGGTTACACGGAGGTCGCTTGAAAATGTTTGATTCCCTATGCTGTTTAAGATGATTGCTGTAACTGGAACACATAGTTGATAAAAGACAAGTTGGAAATGAAACCTGATGATGTTACTAGATGATGAAAATGCCATCACAGCATTGACTTATTGGTTTGTGGTAAGGATAACAGCCATCACTTATTGGTGTGTGGTTGAGATAACAGACATCACTTATTGGTTTTTGGTTTGAATAACAGCCATCACTTATTGGTTTGTGGTTGAGATAACAGACATCACTTATTGGTTTTTGGTTTGAATAACAGTCACTTATTGGTGTGTGGTTGAGATAACAGCCGTCACTTATTGGTGTGTGGTTGGGATAACAGCCATCACTCATTGGTGTGTGGTTGGGATAACAGCCATCACTTATTGGTTTGTAGTTGAGATAACAGCCATCACTTATTGGTTTGTAGTTGGGATAACAGCCATCACTTATTGGTTTGTGGTTGAGATAACAGCCATCACTTATTGGTTTGTGGTTGAGATAACAGCCATCACTTATTGGTTTGTGGTTGGGATAACAGCCATCACTTATTGGTTTGTGGTTGAGATAACAGCCGTCACTTATTGGTTTGTGGTTGGGATAACAGCCATCACTTATTGGTTTGTTGGGATAACAGCCATCACTTATTGGTTTGTAGTTGGGATAACAGCCATCACTTATTGGTGTGTGGTTGGGATAACAGCCATCACTTATTGGTTTGTGGTTTGGATAATAGCCATGAGTTATTGGTTTGTGGTTGGGATAACTGCCATCACTTATTGGTTTGTGGTTGGGATATCAGCCATCACTTATTGGTTTGTGGTTGGGATAACAGCCATCACTCATTGGTTTGTGGTTGGGATAACTGCCATCACTTATTGGTTTGTGGTTGGGATAACAGCCATCACTCATTGGTTTGTGGTTGGGATAACAGCCATCACTTATTGGTTTGTGGTTGGGATAACAGCCATCACTTATTGGTGTGTGGTTGGGATAACAGCCATCACTTATTGGTGTGTGGTTGGGATAACAGCCATCACTTATTGGTTTGTGGTTGGGATAATAGCCATGAGTTATTGGTTTGTGGTTGAGATAACAACCATCACTTATTGGTTTGTGGTTGGGATAACAGCCATCACTCATTGGTTTGTGGTTGGGATAACAGCCGTCACTCATTGGTTTGTGGTTGGGATATCAGCCATCACTTATTGGTTTGTGGTTGAGATAACAACCATCACTTATTGGTTTGTGGTTGGGATAACAACCATCACTTATTGGTTTGTGATTGAGATAACAACCATCACTTATTGGTTTGTGGTTGGGATAACAACCATCACTTATTGGTTTGTGGTTGAGATAACAACCATCACTTATTGGTTTGTGGTTGGGATAACAACCATCACTTATTGGTTTGTGATTGAGATAACAGCCATCACTTATTGGTTTGTGGTTGGGATAACAGCACTCATTCCATCACTCATGATCGCCATTGTTGAAGTTGCCATAGAACAGACTACTACTCGTTAGTATTCTCTTGGTGGGGTTACTGTAGAGAGAACAGAACTTAAATTGTGTTTCTGTGTTTCTGTGTTTCTGTTGAGTTGAGCATTCTCTGTTGTAAGTCAGGTGGAACTTTCATTGCTATGTCTGGTCATGTACAAGATGTGTGTAAGTTCAAACCCAGTGTCATTCAATGCTTGTATGACATTATCAAAACATGCCAAAATCAATTTATTAAAGAACAGAAGTAGAAGATCAGCAGAGTTAGCAAACCTTTTTATTGGTTCAGATTTTTGATGATAAATGTGCAGTGTACTCTACGAACAGGTGCTTTGAACAGATCAAATATGGTACGTTATTGAGGTTTAATTGTAGCAAGGTTAATGATTAACAAATTGGATAAATAGGTACAGTTTTTCACTATAAACAAATGTCATGATGCATTGAGCTTCAGAATATATATTCAACTTACCGCGGTATCAATCTTATTAAAGAACGGTGCAGAGCAGGAAAGAATTTACCTGCTGTATCTAACTGCATGTCATAAGAGGTGTGGCACCCCCTGCTGGTAAGGGGTTGTTCCTCCGATGTTTTCTGTGTGAATGGCCAAGAATACAGACTGCTGTATTCTACTGCAGGATCGTAAGATTCAACTAAAAGTGGGCCCATCGCTGGGTTTTCTGCCAAGGGAGCTTATGAGAAACAAACAAATCTGCTGTTCCCATTGCGACACTTAGTTTTTTTTAATCTTTACTTTGCTATGTCCTCTTTCATTCTGTGCCTTGTTTTCTTCTGTTGTCTCTTTGACACATATCTTCATATGACAATGCATGGATATTTAATCTGTAAATAAACAACTCTTTTGAAGAAATCAATATTCTCTGGACCATGATTTTTCAATTATACATTTATTTTCATTTATCAATTTTAAATCTGAATGTTCCTTCAATTTGCTTAAAAATCTAACAAACAGGAGAAGGAAAAGAAACAGAATTAAAACATATTTTGTAAAAATTGTAACATGTTCCTCACTGGATTCTGGAAACATTCATGAGTACATTTCTTTGTGTGTAATTGAATACCAATATCCGAGGTCTTTAGCTGTGAGCCTTTATTGACTTAAAGAGTTCAGATCTAGTGCTGTTGGGGAATTGTACTTTTAAGTAGAGATGATTAAATTCATTGTCAATAAATAGGATGATGACATGTACTTTGGATCATTCTGAATAAAGAAATCAGGTTAGAAAAGAAAAAAGGCAGTTTGATAAATTTTATTTGGTGTTGATTAAGAGCGTCACAGGCTTGTTCCTACATGTAATACATTTGTCTAAATGTTTTGATCAGAGTAGGATTAGAAGATAAGACAATTTCAAGACATAGATAATGTTTCATTGGTATTTAATTAACACATGATTGCATGAATAGCATTGAACAGACTGCCTGTTTGTTGTGCTGCCTTGGAGTACAGACCTAACACAAATGATCTGATATTACAAGAAGCAGAGTTCTCCAACAAATTCAAATTTCATTACATGATGGCTGTCATGAAAACATTTCTAAATCAATGAAATTCACCGTGATCGTAGAGACCATGTATTGAAAAAATACTGGTTATTCAATAAAAACATTTATTTGTTTGGAATCGGAACTTCTCAGAATAGAAATTTTGTATAAATTTCTGACAAAGGATGAAAAAGCTGGTTAGTGTTAACACAGAGAGAACTTTTAAACAATTTCTTGTTTTCTTTCCCAAATCAATAGCAGTTCAATCACTTTTGTGAAACTGCATAAAGAAATACTGTATTGGTGGAACAATAAGCCCATGTCTGGTAATAAGCCCACCCTAACCTATTTCAGTTGCAGTAGAAATGCCAGCATTCAATAAAATGTAATTAACCTGTACTAATACCACCCCAAATTAGCCCCATAATTAAAGGGAACATTACTTCTTTGGTTTAGTTGGTTGAGTTGGTAGAGTTGTGCGTAAATTGAGACTGAAGTTTGATGTCTGATGAAGTAATTGGAGACCCATGTCTTTAACTGTTTATAATTTCACCATATAGTTTTTATTGAAATAAAAAAGAGAGCTGCATGGTATATGAAGGAATGGATCTGCAGAAGTCATTGTTCTAAAACAGATCTGTAGGAAATATATTATGGGTCAAAAGTCAGTCTTTTCATGCTAGTGTTAGAGAGCATTTGGTCTCATGGAAATTTGTCTTCTGTTACAACAGGACTGCCACTAATTTTTTAAACTCCGTTTGTGGTTGTAGAATTCAGCTGACATCACTCTGTCAAACCTGCATGGTAATACACCCCTCCATTTGGCTGCTGCTCAGGAGAAACTGGACATTGTCAAGCGTCTGGTCAGTCTTGGAGCGAAGGTGACTGAAGTTAACAAGGACAACCATACTCCAGTACAGCTAGCTGTCAAGGTATGTCTCCTTTGTCACTGCTGTCCAGTACAACTAGCTGTCAAGGTAGGTCTCCTTTGTCACTGTCGTCCAGTACAGCTAGCTGTCAAGGTAGGTCTCCTTTGTCACTGTCGTCCAGTACAGCTAGCTGTCAAGGTAGGTCTCCTTTGTCACTGCCGTCCAGTACAACTAGCTGTCAAGGTAGGTCTCCTCACTGCCATCCAGTACAACTAGCTGTCAAGGTAGGTCTCCTTTGTCACTGCCGTCCAGTACAACTAGCTGTCAAGGTAGGTCTCCTTTGTCACTGCCGTCCAGTACAACTAGCTGTCAAGGTAGGTCTCCTCACTGCCATCCAGTACAACTAGCTGTCAAGGTGGGTCTCCTTTGTCACTGCCGTCCAGTACAACTAATTGTCAATTTAGTTTTCTTTGGTCATCACCATCTTTGAGGTTGTACAGCACATGGATTTCATTCAGAGTAGGGGATGTAACAAAATGGAGAAACATCTTGATTTGTCAAAAAAGAATCAGTTAATATTTCTGACAACACTGGTGGTACCTTTTAACGATATCTTCCTTCAAATAATTTTTTAAAAAAATGCTGATCATTTTGAATTGACAGAGGGTTTGAATACCTACTTTGATATAGATTGAAAATGTGAAAAAAATTGCAGATATTCACAAGGTTGGAAATAACTTTTCTTCTGGAAAGTTATTATGGTCATGGTCATTTTGCATAGTTAAATTTACTGCTGGCTGGATCACTGTGCTTGCTATTTTTTCTCTCTTTTTTTGCCCACCATCAAATCGCAATGCATCCGTGTTCTGTCCGTCCATCCGTGCGTTGAGAATTTTGGTTATCACTATTTCTTGAATTGCATATGTAGGTTCCTCTTGGTCACTAGTTGTGCCAAATGGATTTTGGCCTGATCAAAAAAACAAAATGGCCGAAAGGCAGCCATTTTGGATTTTTACTTGGAAAGTTTGGTATTGCTATTTCTTGAGAAGCACAGGATGGATCTTTCTTAAATTTCACATGTAGGTTCCCCCTGGTCTCTAATTGTGCCCATTTGATTTTGGGTCTGATCAGAAAAACAAACTGGCCGAAAGGTGGCCATTTTGGATTTTGACTTTGAAAGTTTGTTATTGCCATTTCTTAAAAATTGCTTGATGGATCTTTCTTAGATTCAGATGTAGGTTCCCCTTAGTCCCTAGTTGTGCCAATTTGACTTTGGGACTGATTAGAATAGTGAAATGGCTGACAGACGGACATCGTAGATTTTGACTGTGAAAGTTGTTTCACTATTTCTTGAGAATTACAGCATAGATCTTTCATGTGTATGCTTTCTTTGATCACTAGTGGTGCTTGTTTGATTTTGGTACTTATCAGAAAAAATAAAATGGCCCACAAGCGACCATCTTGGATTTTGACTTTGAAAATTTGTTACCACTTTTTCTTGAGATCTACTCTTTTCACATTTCTTATAAGTTTCCTTTAGGTCCCTAGTTGTGCCTGTTTGAGTTTGGGACTGATCAGAAAAACAAAATGGCCAAAGAAGTACTGAATGGATATCTCTCAAATTTCATACCTTTGTTCCCTTTTGTCTCTCTTTGTGCTCATTTGATTTTGGGACTGATCAGAAGAAACAAAATGGCTTTCACCTGGCCAGTTTGGATTTGGCAGGTAAAGATTATCATTACTATTTATGAAAATGAACATTCAAATGTCTTATGAATAAGACGAAAAACAGAAAAGAGAAAAAGAGGCAAAAGATCCAACATTTAAAGAGCACATAAAGATCGAACGATGGTGGGCGCCAAGATCCCTCTAGAATCTCTTGTTCCTTTTGTTGGTGTGTATGTTGCTGTTTTATTGGAAGTAATTTTTGAACATCTGGGATTGTGAACATTGCTCTTTTTTTGGTTCAGGCCTTTATTCCTCCCAGGGATGGAATTCTCTTTTCTGGATTTTATTTGGATGAGTTTGGCCAGATTTCTGTACATGGTTTTTGGCTAAGTTCAATTCAAATCAACCTTAGTTAGTTCACCTTTTCCGTAGGTGGAAGGAGTGGAGCCCCGTCGGAAAGTTTTGCAAATCTTTTAAAATTCTACTCTTCCTGTAGAAATGATTTGATTTTGCCCAAGTATAGCCTGAAGTATTCTTGGATGAAGGGGAATCATTTGTGTATAATCAAAGATTCCGGCTCCTGTGGCTTGAGGGATGGGGCCCATATGGGGAAATGTAAGGTTTTTTTTAAAAATCCTTCTTGCATACAAGGATATTGTCCAAGTTTGGTCTGAATCAATTTTTATCAATAGTGAAGCTGATTTCTACTTGACCACAAGGCTGAGATGAAATAGGAAAATTATTTCAGAAATTATTTGTCATATTTGAAATTCTTTTTAAATTTGAATAAATAGTTGAATTAGTCAGGTGAGCGATGCAGACAGGCCCATTGGGCCTCTTATATTCATAATTAGCACCAGTTACAATACATGCATACATTTACATTAATATGATGTAGCTGTAGTAATATCATCAGACACCTGTAGATATCCAGTCTTAACTAGCTTGATAATGTCAAACCGTTTGACCTTTGTTAGTATGTAACTGGGTGGGGTGTCCAGTGCTGGAGGTGTTCAGCAGTATACTTCAGACTGATAGCACTGTGAAATCAGCTTCATTTCCACACTACTACAAGGAGGCTTTCACAAATATATCACGGGCTCTTAAAAACATTTGCACCGTTAACACATGCATTCACCTCAGATAATATAAGGGAGGGTGTCCTTGATTGACATTCAATGTTGATTAAACTTTAAACACACATATATTCATGGGTCTCATATTTCATATGATGTGGGGATGCTTAATTGTGTGGGTAAAGAGATTTTATGAAATTAATTGGTACTAAAAATAGAAGTAAATTCTTTAAAAGCTGATTGATTTGTGAACATGTGAATTTTTTGATAATGAATACCCACTGATTCAATGACACACTGCCTTCAAACAATAACACTTTTGCAGAATATCCATAATATTTAAGTTTTTGAATGGTGTGAAAACATCCTGTTTAATCACATCCTTGCTGTATGTGTAAACACACCCAAGAGTGATGACATCTTCAGTGTAACTGACTGTGCTAACAGGTCATCAGGAGCACTCTAGGATGTGAAGTTATATTGTTGAAGCGTCCAAACAACCTGTCTGAGTAGAGGGTACAGTTGTCCTGGTGACAATATCACCACAGAAATCAGGTCAGATTATTGTGTGAAAATAGAACGTCCAGTTATATGACCAGATCTGTGAGTGGCGTGAATGTTTGAATAAGGATGAAAGACCTGAATACTTATTAGATTTTGTTGTGTTTTATGTGAAAAAAAGGGTCATTGGAAAGTAGAGTAAGGTATTTAGCACTGCAGATTTTATAAGAGTCCTGCACTGTATGTGAGGTTTATACCATATTTATTCTAATTAAGTTCCTGTTCTTAGTAAATGCCTTTTGAAATGTACCAATATGTTTATTTTCTTAATATTCTAATCCGAGCAGAAAATCTTGTGTGGTCAAATCTCACTCTGTTACAAACTCAAACTATGTAGGCTTGCATTTTGCTTTCCAAAGAGAGGGCATATAGTTGTTGCTTTATCCATCAGTTTGTCTATCCATCATAATTTTGTTTGGACTGTAACACAAAAACTACAAAGAGGTATCAGGTAGATAGATCTCAACAAGGAGAAGTGCAGTGCAGTGCAACAGAACCATCACTATCTTTGGCATAATTTAGGAGTCATTGCCCTTTGTTACTTTTCATATTAAAATTTTGTTTGGAGCATTACACTAAAACTGTAAGAGGCATCAACATGAAACTTCATACGTACATGAAGCTAAATCTCAACAAGGAGAAGTGCAATGGACCAGAACCATCACTCTTTTTTTGAATGATTAAGGAGTTATATCCCTTTGTTATATTTCATACTTAATTTTGTCCCGTTTAGGGAGCATAACCCATCTCTGACAGCCCTTGTTAGATTTAAATACTGTTATTACACTCTATTGATTTTAGTATCAATTGAGGCTTGCTAATTCCATTGTATCTTCTCCATTCTATTCAATTATACTTCTGTGAAATTTGGACATTTCCAAGTAAGAAGATTATATTTTTGAAGGGATACATATTGGAATTACTTACAGTTTACAAATAAAATTAAGTGCATGTATTTAATTTTGAATTTAACAAGGCATCAGGTAAGAATGTTCTCAACATTAACCAGCTCCACAAAATAAGTAGGTAATATACCTCTACTGCTTGCCGACCAGTTTCACCAGTATATAAGTATATTACCTGTTTATTTTGTAAAGCTGGTTGATATTGAGAACACTCTTACCTGATGTCTTGTTATTGTAACCATTGAATGACTCTCTGTATACCTCGTGATATCTATTTTCCAGCGATTTACTACCTAAGGACCCTTCCTATATATTTGACTGGTGTTGGCTCATTCCCCACCCCCCACCCTTTTAATTTTGAATTTGAATTAAATTTTGTCCTATAATTCTTCGTAATGCTTTGAATCTTGAATATCTATGAAAAACCAGCTTACCTTATTCATCCTTTGCTTTATTTGCATTCAAACAGGAAAATTTTCAAACCCCAAATGCTTTACTAACCCAAAAGCACTTCTTATTGGTCAAAACTGCAAAAGTTATACCATCACTAGGAGATCACTGCAGTGATGATATAGAAGTTTTTACCAAATTAAATGTAATGAATAGTTTTGGAAATACCATGAGTGCCTTATAAAATGATGAAACCCACATTGATTGTACCTTATAGTTTTTTAATCAATAGTTAAATGAGATTTGATTAGTATAGTAGTTAGTAATCATGAGATTATTAAACTACTGTTAATGAGAAATTGTTGATGTCTAGTTATGACAATTGTATAAAAAGATAAAAAAAACACATTTTTGCTGATTAGAATTAGTGTAACCTACCTTCCTGCCATGCTCATCATGTGTA